GAAGAGGTATAGAGTAAAGAAATCTCTAAGACTTATATTTATAACCTAAGGCCCTTAGAGCTATATATAGGCTAAATAATTAGATAATTACGTAGTTAATTGCTCTACTAATCCTTAGCTATATACTACGCGTGCTTTAGGTATATGCCCTCGTCCCCGTTAAACTACTTATAGCTAAGGACCTATTTTCCTCTTGCCTTTTCCTTAAGGACCTCTTTAAAAGACCCTATCTCTTCATATAAGGCTAGGTAGTCTTTCTAGGCCTAGAAAAACTAGTCTTTAAAAGGGTGTCTTTCTAGCTACTTTTAGTTTACTAGTAGGTCCGGGAGGTCTCTCTTATATACCTTCCTTACTAATAGCTATAGCTTAAAAAGCCGGCCTACTATAAACGCTCTATAGGAACCGTCTTTTATTATCGTTAGATAGAAGTTAGAAAAACGATTAAAATAAAGGAGAAATTAGTCTTCTTTTATATCGGGCCCTATACCTTCCTTTACTTCTCGAAGTAGGGATAAAAAGGCAGCTAGGTAATCCTTTAAGAGAGGTGCCTTTCCTACCCCCTTAGGGGTTAAGATAGGAAGACTAACTAAAAAAGCTACTTTTAGATCTTCTTCTTATTCCGTAAAAGGAAGCGTAAGGAGGTAAGCGTATTCTAGCTCTACCGCTTTCCTATAATCTCCTTCTTTATCTAGATTATTTAATCTAGTAGCTTCCTCTTTTTCTTCTTCTTTAAAGTCGGCGTTATCCTTAACTACTTCGACGTTAGTTTCTTCTTTTATTTCCTCTTTTAATGCCTCTTCTTATAACTATTAGGAAAGGGGGATTTAAATCTTCTAAATTAGCTAACGTTATAAAAGTAAGAGGGGCTATTAATCCCTCTTTCTATTAAAGAAGCTAGATTCGTTGAAAATTATATCCCTAGTCGAAATAACCTTTTATAAAAGAGGAATCTAGATCCGGAAGATATTTATAGAATTATAACTAACGAGGTAACTAATAAAGGCTCTAGGATTAAGCTTTCTTTTCTTCTTTCTTTTTAACTATATATCGGTAGTTATTATATATACCTTATAGCTATAGGTATAAAGGTAGGCTAGCAAGGCCCTCTTCTTCGTAAAGAGCTTAAGGGGGGGTTTCTAGTTAATTCCTTAGGTAGTCCCTTTAAGGTCCTTAGGGTCCTAAGGGGTCCGGTTCTAAAGGTAATAGGCGGTCTTAACGACTTCCCTTTAAAGGTCGTATAAAAGCCTTATAGCTAGTCTTATCGTATAGGCCCTTTCTATTATAGCACCCCTTAATCTTTCTACCCCTCTATTCTAGGCCTAGGTATTCGGTGCTAATAGTAAGGGTAAAATGCCCCTTTTTTAAAGCTAATTTAAGATATCCTTTATAAATAGCTCTTTATTAGACCGTATCTTCTTTACTTTATAGCTAAAGTAGGATTTTATCTAGTTAACGAAGTCCTAGAGGGCTAACTAGTTATACTTACTTAGGTAGGTCTATAAGAAATAAAGGAAAACTATCCTTAAAAAAGCGTCTATAAAAAGCATTACCTTAATAAAGCTTTCTTAATCCTTAGAGACGTCGGTTTAGTTAACCTAAATTTCCTTATATAGCTAGTCCGGCTATAAAGGGGTTCGTTTAGAAATTCGTCTCTTAGTCTTTCCTTAGCCGTAGTATTTATATTTAACGGTCTTTAAGCCCCTTATTTATATGCCTTATTATTAGCCTAGCTTATATAAAGCTAGGGGGCCTAAGTAACTAAGTTATACGTGCTAAAGAAGACCGTCTCCTTAAGCTACTAGAAAAGGGTCCTTAGAACCTACCCTCCTTTATGTAGGGAAAGCTAACTTCTTAAGTAGTTCCTTCCTAAGGATAGGTTAGAATTCGAGAATAAATTAACCGAATTTTTCCTCGATAAGCTTAATAGTCTAATTCTTCTAGACTAGCCTTATAGGCTTAGACGTTATATCCTAGAAGATTCCTTCCTTTCGAAGAAAGCGGAAAGAAATTAAGCTCGTTAAAAATCGAGGGCAAAAAGCTACCCTTTTTCGTCGAAGAATTTATATAGACCTATTAGGTAATTTTATTATAAAATTCACCCTTCTATATCTCTCTATCTATATAGTTAATTCCCTAGTAATAAGGTATTCCCTCTATACCTTCTTAAAGGACTAGAATCGTAAGAGTATATTATAGATATTAAGGGAAGTACTAGAGTTAAGGATAGCTAATTTTCGTAGGGGATAATTAGAGGGTCCTAACGGGTAGTCTTACTAATCCGTAGGGAAGACGAATACTAGATTTACTATACTAACGATTTTTCCTTAAATTTATAGCTCGAATAAGAGCAGCGGCGTTATTAGTTACTATTTCTTAGCAACCTAAATCTCGTCTATCTTCTTCTATAACGAGGGGTCCTCTTTAAGAGACTATTATATCGTTTCTTATAGCCTCTTTAAAGGGTTAAATCTTTTAGGTCGGTTTTCCTTAAAGACCTACTAGCACTATAATAACCGATAACCTAGGGATTTATAGGCTAGGCAGCCGTTTCGTTTAGTCTTTTATTTCTTCGAGGAATCCTCGTCTTAATTTAGAAGGTTTACTTAAAAACCTCCCCTTTTAACCCCTTATTACTAATTTTAACGAAGAGGTTTAATTTTAACTAGTTCCCTGATTTTTCGACTAATAGACTAAAAGGTCTATTAAGGGACTAGTCGGGCCGGTCTAACTAACGGGACCGGGCCCGGAGCAAAAGGCGGAGCCGGGGCCGGGACTAGGGCAGCCGTTAAAGATAGGGTTAAGGCTCTCGAGGGAGGAGGAGCTAGAGGGGCAGCAGCCGCAGCAGCAGTAGCGGGGGCCGCAGTAATAGGGGCTATAGCAGCTGCAGGGGCAGTAGGTCGAACCGTCTAGGTCGAGTGCTAGCTATAAAGGAATAAGACTACTTACTACTATACTCTAGTAGCTTCTTTATCTAGTTCCTAGCTAGCTTCTTAAAAGATAGTTAAGTAACTATTACTAATAGGCTTTATTAGTAGAGATATATCCTATAGCTACTAGCTAGATAGAGCTTCTATAAGGAAGTATTAGTTAGCTTCCTTAAGAATTTCTTCTTACTTAGCTAGCTACAAAGAGGCTAGTAGATTCCTAGCAGAAAAGGCTCCTAGGTGGGCCGTATAGGTCTTCCTAATATAGTTAGTTATATAGCCCCTCGAGGGAGCTATTAAGGTCTCGAGCTTTAAAAACTACTACCTAAGAGTCTCTTCCTCTTAAAGAGAGATTAGCTTTATAGTACTAACGGATTCTATTATTACTATACGAGCAGTAGTTAATAGCTTTATTTTATAAAGGAATTCCTTTTAATAACTCTCGTAGTTACCTAAGGCAGTAGAAAAAGCTCTCTATTATACGGAGGTTAGCTTAGAGAAGAGGGAAGCTCCCTCTATAAATTCCGTTGCTCTATAATAAAGAGGGGGCTTAAGAGGGTCCTACTTATTAGAGAAGACTAAATTATAGATAGTTCTATCTATACGAGCCCGTAGCTCCTTTACCTACTTATCCTAATCTTAGGGCTTTATAAGAATCGTCCTATAGACCGTAGGGGCGGTAGAGTTAGATTTCGATATCGTTATAGGAGAGGGGGTAGAAAAGTTAGTTAAAAATCGGCTTTTCTAGTAAGAGGGGTAAAAGGATATAAGAAAGGTGCCTTTTATAGCAGCTAGAAGGTATAGGAATTCTATTCCTCCTAGGCTTATAACTCTCGTAAAAAGAGATATAAGAAGTATATATAAAATATATAAAGGTAAAATTAAAAGTAAGGGGTTAGATAGGTAGGGTAGAGAGATTTAATTCTTATAGGAGCAGCAATAAAGGTAAGGGAGTAATTATTATATTTTCTTAATTATCCTTCTTTCCTTTATATAACGCCCCTCTTTATACCTATCTAGTATCTTAATTAATAAAGAAGATCTTACTTAAAGAAGCTACTAATATCCTTTTAACTACCGAGCTTTTTACCGGTTTTTCCCCTCCTTTCTAGCCGTTGCTAGTATATCCGTCTTATCTCTTACTACCTCTATAGGAAGCTATCGCTACTTCTACTTCCCCTTATACCCCTACCCTCCTTTCTATACCTCTTTTAGCTCCTTCCTTAAAACCTATTTTTTAGCTTCCTAGGTCCCTCGTACTAAGGGATATATCCGAGAACTACGAAATTAGGCTACGCTTCGCGATAATAAGAGATATCTTAAGGGTTTATAAGCTAATACTTTAACTCTTTTATATAGAAAGTATTTAATTTACTTAATAAAGAACCTCTTAGTTTCGCACCTTAGTAATATAAATTTTAGTAATATCCTCGTATAATAACTTAAGATTAACCTACTATAATAGTTCCTAAGTAGAAAGCTAGTGCTAAAGAGTCTATAGGCTAATAGATTAATACCCTTAAGCTATAAGGCGCTTATTTATATACTAAAGAATAATCTAGTTAAAATATCCTTAATAAAAAGAAGAAAGAATTACGTCTTATATATACTCGAGGTCTTTTATTAGTTATATTATAAAGAGTAGAGACTAAGTATATAATCTAAATTAAAGAAATTTTTATAAATAAAGTAGTATAGTAATTTAGTAGGATTAGGTTTTAGCACACTTTACGGACCTTAGCTAATATGCCACCGTATAGGGCATTTATTCTCACTATTTAAAGCGAGTGACGCCATGCAGAAGCGTTGGCGGCAGCTCCCGTCTGGGGAAAGCGGGCCCGGAACACGATCAACGTCCCGAGTGATGACATCAGCATTTTGCCCGTCGATTCTCTCAAGTCACACCAAAAACCGACTTCATCATGAGGCACTAAAACCAAACAAAACAACCCAGAAAGAAGAGTCGAGAAAGGAAAGACGCGGATGGCTGCGCAAAGACAATCATTCTTCACCAACATCCCTCTGGCCCTCCTCTCCTGACTCGGCGGCGCCAGACAGATCCAGTCACTGGCCACAATGGCCGCCGCGTCCTCGGCCCAGCCTCGTCCAAGGCGCAGCGCCCGCAACTTGAAGCGCGGAAACGACATCAAGAAGGAAGAGTCTCCCGACGAGTCGGCCGGCGAGCTGCTCAAGGCGACGGCCCCGGCCAAAAGGGCCAGGAAGCGGGTCAAGACGGAGGCGTCCCTTCCACCGCCCAAAGACGAAGATGTCGACACACCTCTGACTGCGGATGACAGCGACGACAAGAGGGACAACACCAGCGGTCCCCAGAAAACACCCGCCAAGACGGCCCAGGACCGTGCCGCCCATCTCCAGGCCCGCAAGCTTAAGTCCTTCTCGGCCTACGCGAGCCAATCCCCCTTCCGCCACATGGCGCGCCCGACGCCGCAAGAATGCCGGCTCGCCCACGGCATCCTGGCCCGGCTGCATGGGGATCGCGTCCGGCCCGACACGGTGGTTGCGCCGACGGGGGCCGCCGGGTGCGGCAACTCGCCGTCCGTGCTCGACGCCCTGGTGCGCACCATCCTGTCGCAAAACACGAGCGACCGCAACAGCTCGCGCGCAAAGCGCAGCATGGACGACGTCTACGGCGGCAGCGACCGGTGGGACGCCATTGTCGACGGCGGCCAGCCGCGGCTGCAAAAGGCCATCCAGTCGGGCGGCCTGAGTGTCGTCAAGTCAAAGGCCATCATGGGCATCCTGCAGCAGGCAAAGGCCCGCTACGGCGTCTACTCGCTCGACCACCTCTTTGGCGCCTCCGACGACGACGCCATGCGCGAGATGCTCTCCTTCCAGGGCGTCGGGCCCAAGACGGCCAGCTGCGTCCTGCTCTTTTGTCTGCGCCGCGCGAGCTTCGCCGTCGACACCCACGTCTACCGCATCACCGGCCTGCTGGGCTGGCGCCCGCCCGCCGCCTCGCGCGAGGAGGCCCAGGCCCATCTCGATGCCAGGGTCCCGCCCGAGGAAAAGTACCCGCTCCATGTGCTCCTCATCAGCCACGGCAAGAAGTGCGCCGAGTGCCGCGCCGGCGGCAAGAACCTGGGCCAGTGCGAGCTGAGAAAGGCCTTTCGACGGGGAAAGCTCGAGGGCGAGGCCGGCGAAGACATGAAGGAGGAGGAGATGAAAGCGGTGAAGCAGGAGGACGGTCAGGGAGAGTGAAGCTGGTTATTCACTTCTCTCTTTGTCGGCTGTGTCATGCCCATCCACTGGGCATGCCATCATCTGGCGTACGGCTTCATTTCTGTATACTCTCGGGAGAATAAGGCTGAAGGACGAAGAGAATCTAGAAACTCCAGTAAATATGTGTGGTAGTAGTGAACCAAAACAAGGGCACCAACCAATCGAAACACTTCCAAGGGGGAAAAATAAAGAGAGGGATACCAAAGAGACAATGGCTTCGTCCCAGTCACAGAGGGTATCATAAGTCGCACACACGTGTTTTCAGGCCTCCCAGTCCATGGGCTCAACCATCCACTCCCACTCGTCCTGGGCGGCCTGCTGCTGCCGCACAACGCTGGCCTCGACATGAGCAGCAGCCAGGTCGTCGCGGACGCGTGCCGAGGCAACATCGTAGGCAGCCTCGAGCCCACGCATGGCCTCGGTGACGATCCAGTTGAGGTCGTACATTTTGAGCGGCGGCGTCTCGCGCCCCTCGGCCGCGTCCTTCCACCGGTTTCGCAGCTCCTTGGCCTTCCACAGCGCGTGGTTGACGTCGCCCTGGCCCAAGGCGCCGTGCAGCGGGTGCGCCGCGTCGTCGAGCGCCCGCAGCACGTTGTGGTGGTAGGCGTGCTGGCTGGCCGCCGTCGTCGTCCCGTTGCCCGCCGCGCCGACTCCGCGCTCCACCGAGGTGCCAAAGACCTTGAGCAGCAACACGACGGCCTGTTCGATCCAGACGTAAAACTCGTGGAAGTCGACCTTGAAGTTCCGCTCCGCGTCGGCCGCCGCAAACGCCCAGGCCTCGGGCGCGTTGGCCCGGTTGTAGGCGTTTTCGAGGTCGATGGACTTCCACCGCAGCCGGCCGCACGTCTGCTCGAACCGCTTGAGCGCCTGCGCGCGCGCCAGGGCCTGGGCCTGCGGTGATGCCGATGCCAATGATGCTGCGTCTCTCGATGGCGGCGTCGCCGACGACGGGGTCCGCGGCGGCAGCGATTGCGTCCGGTGCGCCGACGACGCCCATGCCGACGACTCGAGGCCGCGCGATGATGTCTTGGCCATGGCACGTCGACGGTCGAGTGCGTGCTTGGGTGACGGAGGCCAAGGCTTCAACATCCGAGGTTGGGTGTTGGGGTAAAGTTGTACTCTTGTACGTACTTCCAAGGCGAGGCCTCACTCTCTAAATGCCCTCTTGGTTGGCCCCACGCTACGCGTTTGCTTGGAGCTGTTGACAAACAACGCACCAAAGGAGCAACAAAACCGTACCGACTGCAAGCGCCGATGATGGAAACCCAATCCGACGTCAATTGGACAAGTTAGTATATAGTGAGAGCGCATTGCACTGGTTGTGGTCAATATCTTCCAAAGGAGCCTTGGTATAGGGTAGCCGTCTCCGATGCTCATCCGCCTCGTACTGCCACTGCAGGCGAAAGGAACCAAGCGCTTCAACAAGTTGAGAGCTTTGTCGCTCCGTTGTTGATTCTACAGAAATTCAAACACGGGCATAGTGCCATACAGTCATTCTCGACTCGCGAGCCCCTGAATCTCCAAACAGATTCCCAAGATCCCCCGCGAAGCCTCCGCTTCCGAGACCATCCCTTCTCTCCTCACCACTTTTTCTCTCAAATACTCTTGTTATCCTCGAAGCGCCTCAACAACTGAGCTTGACATACCGAAACATGCCCCTCGAGAGCCCAAGCACAGCTCGCGCAAAGTGTCGCGTCTCCCATACCATCTCGAACTCTTCCCCTCGTCTCCAGCGTCGCTACGACTCTCCCCCCTTGATTTTTTTCGTCGCCTTTGCGGTGCCGATATGCGTGTTATGTACCTGAAAAAAGCGTGAGCAGAGTTCGTCCCCTTCCCGTTCATCGTGGAGGGCATCCATACCTTGGTGGCAAATCTCAAGCTCATCAGCGTCTCCTTGAGATGAACCTCGAGTGGTGACACCATGACAAACATGAGCGTCTTGCTGTTGCCTCCCAGGCTATACTGCAGCAGGTGCGTGAGCTTCGAGTTGCGGTACGGCACGTGTCCCGAGCCCCGGCCGAGTGCCTCTATCACGTCGCCCAGACAGCTCAGGCTCTTGTTGATGCTTTGCGTCTCCTTCATGCGCTCGCCCTCGGCCTGCGACTGTTTCAGCCGCTCCGAGCCCGCCAGGTCCACCAGGTTCAGGGTCCCCTCGCAGCGCTCCCCCGTCGCCGCGTTCTCGCCCACGAGCTTCAGGATGAAGACGCTGTGCGAGCGCGACGACCGCTCGTTGGCCTTGGTCGCCGCTACCGACCGGTTCCGCTGCGCCTCCTGAAGAATTCGCTCTACACTCGACGCAGAGTTGAGGTGCACCGACTTGCAGTTGAGAATGGCCGTCTGCCTGCGCGCCTCGTCGTGACGGATCTCGAGCTTCCGCGGCTTGCCTTCGGATGAGACGCGCTCGTGAGCGGGCGAGAGCAAATCGTTGAGATCCTCATTGTACACCTCGACAAAGGACCCCTCCATCGTGTACTCCCACGACTTCTCCCTGAGCTTGGTCATCGTCTCGTAAATCATGTGCGTTGCCCGCGGGATCATGCCGTCATCCGACGACATGGTGTACGTCTTGCCGGACCCCGTCTGGCCGTAGCAAAAGATGCATACGTTGTATCCGTCGAGGGCGCTCTGAATCAGCTGCGAGATCTCGCCGAAGATCTCTTCGTTCTGCGTGCCCGGGGCGAATACGCGGTCAAACTCGAAGGGGTAATTTTTCCGCGTCACCATCCCCAAGCTGCTCCTCTCCTCCGGTCCGGCTAGCAGGATCTCGGCCGATGTCTTGTCGTCGGGGAAAGACATGCGGGCCTCTTCGCCCTCGCTTCCGTCCAGGGCCGGCCGCACCCTGCACATGACGCGAATGTTGCCCTTGAGCTCCTGGTACTTGTTGAATAGAACGCGCCGCTCCGTCTCCTCCTTGATGAGCTTCTGTCTCGCTTCGTCGGCGATGCGAAGCGCCTCTTGCAGCCGAGCCTCCATGCTGGCAAACGAGTCCGATTGGGCCTTGTTGTCGGACTCGAGGAATTCAACATGCGACTTGAGCGAGTTGATCTTGGCCTCAAGCGTCGTGTTGGATGCCGAAAGCTCCGCGATGCTGGTTTGCAAGCTGCCCTTGAGCAATCGTTCGCGCTCGAGCTCTGTGCGCAGGCTCTCGGCTCTGGACCGGTGTTCCTGGACCTCGCGATCTTTCCCCTGCAGGGCCAGGTCCATGTCCTGATGCTCGTTGCTCATCCGCGTCCGGACCTCGCGGACCTCTCTGTCCATCCGCTGACGTTCGTCTTCCAGATCCTGCTGGTGATGCCGCGTCAAGGCTTCGATGCGCTCCTGGAGCGCCTTCATCTCTTGGTCCTTGATCCGTTTTAACTCGACTCGCAAATCCTCGGCCGTCGTTTGGTGTTGTCGCTGGAGATCGTTTACAGTCTCTCGATGTTGTCGTTCGACGTCTTCCACGGCCTCTCGGTGTCGGCGCTCGAGGTCGTCGACTGCTCGGCCGTGGTCCCATTGCTGCTTCTCGAGTTCGTGTCGCAGCTGCCGCCCGTCGTCTTTGGCAACGCCCAGCTCCTCCTTAAGCCTCTCATGGCGCTCTTCGAGTTTCCGCCTACAGTCCTCGAGTTCCGAAACTGCAGAAGAGTATCCATGAGCCTCGTCCGTGCCGTCAAGGTGCAATCGCGCGGCGACACTCACCTCTCGCTTTAGCCAACTCGAACGCATCCTCGTCACCTTTCTTCTGTGTTAGTGTGTCGTTGAGCATGTTCTTGAGCTCCTTGAATTCCAACTCAATGTTGTCAACTCGGCCGTCGACGTCCCAGGCTGTGTAGGCAGTCAAGTTAGAATCCTTTGTCAAAAACACTGGTGGGAACGGGGCTTTTGAAGGGCTTGCAGCGGACTTGATCGCGGCGATGCTGCGCTGAACTCTGTTGAACTGAGATCTCACTTGCTCATCAGTCGGCTTTCTGGAAGAAACCTCCTAGGCTTCCCCCGAGATGGCCGGGCATGACGGCAACGGAGTCTCAACCACCCTGTCCTTGCTCTTTCCCGGTCGAGACACGCTGATGTTCGCGGACACAACCTGCGCTGCAAAGCCGTGTGCAATGCGTTGGGATGTCACTTGACTTGAATCCCGGGTTGGGAGGTCTCGGAGGTTCAGCTTTTCGAACTTGGTCGTGAGAGAGCTTTCTCTGCTGGCTGACAGCGATTGAATGGCGCTCGTGTCCCTCACTTTGGACACCTGAAGAACAGGCAGACTTGACATGCCTCGGAGCCAAGTGGGGGGAGCGTGAGGCCTACCGCTGTTTATGGATACGTCATCGCGGTGGACCTCGTCACGGTGGCCGTGGGCGGTTCGCGGACGAGGGGCTTGGCTTTTCGATCGGGCATGGCCAAAGCGGTTGCCGTTCTTCGCGGCCGTGTGTCGATCGGCGGTGACGTTTCGGCCGGGCCCATAGCTCTTGGCGAAGCCGCCGCTACTCGACGAGGCCGGGCCGGGCCGCGTGACGCTGGTGGGTTGCTGTGGCTGTTTAGGCTGTCAAGATGTCAGTCAGTGGGATGCTTGGGCGCGAAATCTTACGGCAGCGGGCGTAATAGACAACATAGGAAGCGCCAAAGTCGCGCGGGCCAGTGGCAGTACCTGAGACATTGAACACAACGATTGGCCTTTGGTGCTTCGGTGAGGATTGGCCGTTGCCAGGGATGGCTTGGAAGGGTACTCGGTGGCTTTTTCGGAGAGAGGTTTGCGCTTCGCGTCGGGTTGGGGAGCTGAAGCATCGTATTAGCATATCTTCACGGCCAAGGGCAACTGGGGGTTGACTCGAACCTGCTTGCGATATCTCCCGCTTGATGCCCTTGAAGGTGGGCAGCGGGGGCAGCGGGATGCGCGTGTTGTGCTGCGAATCGCTCATTTCTGCGAGGCCTCTCGAGGGTGCAGTCGGTCCGGGCAGTCGACAGCTCCGCGCTGGCTGCATCCAAGTTAGCAACGAAGCAACAGTCCGACGCGGCTCCGGGCAAGGCGTACCTGGTTCTCAGAACCGTCCATTGCGACGAGGTCCCGTGCGCGCCGCAGGAAAACAGGCACGAGGATGGGCAAGGCGGGGAGCAGCAGAGCTCCGGATGGAAACGCGAACGCGCGAGGCGTGGCGTCGAGAGCACGCGATGGTGCAGCCTGCGTCGCCGAGAGCTGGAAAGGGGCAACGGGTGGATGGATGAGAAAAGAAGAGCAGCCGCAAGCTTGAAAGAGCGGCACGCGCTGCGCCGCGGTTTTTCTGTCCTTGACGCTGACAGCTACAGCTGGTGGGTAGAATATCGGGTGACAACTCTCGCGTCTCTCCAAGTTCCTACGAGGGATGCTGGGACATGAGCCGTTGTTTCTCCCTGGTTGCGGGGGGCAACCGCTGCGCCACATCGCGAAAAGCGCCCCCACCCTCAGTCACCAGCCACACGTGCAGCCACAACGGTGGCCCCAACCGCCGTCTAAGTTCGAAGGAAACTCTGGCATGGAATAAGCAAGGATTGGGAAATTCACATGTCAGGGCCCAGGAAGGCATGACGCTCTCGTCAGCAGATTGACAGCACAGCACCTCTTGCGCCCTCGTCTCTCCACACTTGCCCTCAACGACAGTCGACCGGCTCGAGTTTCGACTTCGCGCGACCAAGACCTCTTCCGTCTCTCCAAGCACGCCGTTCGAGCTTGACTCCTCTGCCAAGTTCCAGCCAGAGCTTCCCGCCGCTCGCTGAGGGCCCAGTCCCCTGCTTTCGCGACGCCTTCGATGCCTCCAAAAGCTCTTGCGACACTCTGACTCTTGTCTCGAGCCGCTCCATCAACATTGCCACCCTCCCGCCACGGCTTCTCGAGCCATCCGTCCGCCCTCTGCCGTCGACGATGGAAAAGTATAGCCAGTTTCGCGACAGGTGTAAGGCCGTCCCACGCGCGGGCTCGAGTGCATCGTCGTCGCTGACATGCTCATGCTTTTCCGCTAGCTACCGGCATCGCGCCGTTCTTACCCGTCGTGACGCCCCTCTCCGCCATCTCGACGCTGACGCACAGCCTGCTCTTCTTCTTCCGCCTCCCGCTCTTCCTCACCTACGCCCTCAGCTACTTCATCGTCTTCCACTACCTGCCGCTGCCCGTCGTCGCCCGCAAGATTGCGCTATGGGGTATGATGGCGATCCCCGGCATCTGGTGGGTCGACCTCCAGCTCGACGGCGTCAGGCGCGGCACCCTGTCGGAGCAGCCCCGTGAGCGCGTCCCTCATCCGGGCTCCGTCATTGCCGCCAACTTCACTAGCCCCATCGATGCCGTGTATCTCGCCGCCGTCTTCGACCCCGTCTTCACCGTTTCGTACCCGGGGACGCACAAGCTGCGTCGGATCGGCTTGCTGGGCGCCGTCGCCATGGCCCTGGCGCCCGTTCGAACTGGCCCGCCCCCCAACGCAAAGTTGGTAGACCTCGAGGATCTGCTAAGAGAGTATCCGGGACGTGTCATTGCCGTCTTCCCCGAATGCGGCACTACCAACGGCAAGGCCATCCTGCCATTCAGCCCGGGCCTGGCCCAGTGCCCGCCCAGCGTCCACATATTCCCCGTCAGCATCCGCTACACGCCCTCAGACGTCACCACCCCGGTGCCCGGCCGGTGGTTCAGGTTCCTGTGGGACCTTCTCTCGCGGCCTACGACCTGCATCCGTGTGCGCATCGCCGAGGGCCGTCGTAAGGATGCGGCTGCTCCAGCCACCAATGGCGGGGCCACGACGACCAACGGCGCCAGGGGAGAGCTTAGACAGCGCAAGTCGGCGGACTCCGACCTCTCGGGCGACGAGCAGAAGCTCCTGGACCGAATCGCCGAGGCCCTGGCGCGACTGAGCAGAGTCAAGCGGGTTGGCCTGACGATGAATGACAAGACAGCCTTTGTCGCAGCTTTGAACGGCAAGAAGACCTGAACGAGAAACGGTAGAAATTGGCAAAGGAAAGTATCAGAGAACAAAAAATAATTGCAAGGCAAATGGAACGCTGCGGATGAGCGCCCTGGCGAGGGCAGAAAAGTCGTCTGATGTCCCCTCACCTTCTTCTAGTGCGTACCTGTATTCAGATATATTGCACTGCATGGCCAAGAGCGTGGGGTTCTAGCAGGTTGAATTCTCTTCTTTGCTCCTTGTACTTGGAAGACATCATCAGAACGGACAAACAATTGTAGCGTGGACAGTCTTGCGGAGTATTCTCTTCTCTTCCCTCCTGGAACGAGAGCACTCTATTCAGTCCGTTGTAACGCTTTCAAAGACGTATACTAGTGCACATGGTAGTTTCAAAGAGTATCAACATGTTGCCTCGCAGCCGTGAACACCTGCGAAGCGCCCCTTGTCCCAACCGTCCCTCCTTTTAGACGGCATCCTCAGGGGCAGACAAACGCCTTTCTTCACCTCGGATTCGGTTATATCGGCCCATCTGTGACACAGCCCGAGCTGGCATCGCTGACGAGTGAAGCATACTTCTTCAGCGTGCCCTTGTTGTACCTCGGCGTCGGCGCCTTCCATGCTTTTCTCCGCTGCTCCATTTCCTTGTCTGGGACCAGCAGGTCAAGCACGCGCTTCTCGGCGTCAATGACAATCTCGTCGCCGTCCTCGACCAGAGCAATGGGCCCGCCTTGCATGGCCTCGGGGACGATGTGGCCGATGATAAAGCCGTGTGAGCCGCCGGAGAAGCGTCCATCCGTGAGCAGAGCCACGTCCTTGCCGAGGCCGGCGCCCATGATGGCGGACGACGGCTTAAGCATCTCAGGCATGCCCGGGCCGCCCCTGGGCCCGTCGTAACGAATAATGACGACAGTCTTCTCGCCCTTCTTGATCTCGCCCCGCTCTAGGCTTGCGATGAAGTCGTCTTCGGCGTTGTAGACGCGGGCCTTGCCGGTGAATTGCAGGCCTTCCTTGCCGGTGATCTTGCCGACGCAGCCGCCGGGCGCCAGCGACCCTCGGAGGATCTGGATGTGGCCGGTGGGCTTAATCGGGTTGCTCATGGGGCGGATGATGTCTTGGTCTGCGGGGAAGTCGGGCATGTTCTCGACGTTTTGCTTCATCGTCTTGCCGGTGACGGTGATGCCTGAGCCATCGATGATGCCCTCCTTGAGAAGGAACTTGAGAAGGCTCGGGGTACCGCCAATCTTGTGCACATCCTCCATGACGTACTTGCCGGACGGCTTGAGGTCGGCAAGCAGGGGGATGCGATCCGAGACGCTCTGGAAGTCGTCGATGGTGAGCTTGATGCCCACAGAGTCGGCAATGGCGATTAAGTGCAGCACGGCGTTGGTGCTGCCCCCCAGGATGGAGACGACAGTCATGGCGTTTTCAAAGGCCTGGCGGGTCAGGATGTCGCGGGGCCGGATGTCCTCCTTGAGGAGATTCCTCATTGCCCCTCCAACAGCCTCGCACTCGGCCCTTTTGCTTGCGTCCTCGGCGGGATTGCTGCTGCTGCCGGGGAGGGTGAGGCCCATGGTCTCAATGGCTGAGGCCATGGTGTTGGCCGTGTACATGCCGCCACAGGCGCCACTGCCGGGGCAGGCATTGCGAATAATGTCGAAGCGCTGCTCCTCGGAGATGTCGCCCGTGATGTACTGGCCGTAGGCCTGGAAGGCGGAGACTATGTCGATGGGATCGCCGGCCTTTGTGCAGCCGGGCTTGATGGAGCCGCCGTAGACCATGATGCTGGGGCGGTTGACGCGGCCCATGGCAATGGCAACGCCGGGCATGTTCTTGTCGCAACCGGGCAAGCTGATGTTGCCGTCGTACCACTGGCCGTTCATGACGGTCTCGATGCTGTCGGCAATGATCTCGCGGCTCTGCAGCGAATACCTCATACCCTTTGTGCCCATGGATATGCCGTCGCTGACGCCAATCGTGTTGAATCGGTAGGGAACGAAGCCGGCCTGGGCAACCGAGTCGCGCACAATCTGGGACAAGTCCATGAGGTGCATGTTGCAGGGGTTGCCCTCGTACCAGACGGAAGAGATGCCGATCTGCGCCTTGTTCATATCGTCCTCGGACAGGCCGGTGGCGTAGAGCATGGCCTGGGAGGCACCCTGGGACTTGGGCTGCGTGATGGCCGCCGACACCCTGTTGAGCTTGTCGTCGGCGCGACAGGGCGCCGCGGTTGAGAAGAGACGCCTGGACGGAGCGACGTTAGCAACAGCCGGGGCCTGGGCTGATATCAGGCTGAGCCATGCACATACCCATGGTTATTCGCCGAGGCCAAGCTGGCTCTGGCAAGCCGCTGGCGCAGGGCCGTCGAGAGCATGACGACGCGACAGACGACTCGAGAGATTCAGCTGGGCGCCGCTCAGGCGCGCCGATGAATGCACTGCAGGCTCAATCTCGTTGCTGACTGGGGAATGGGCAAGCGCGTGTCGAGACGGTCGTGTAGCAGTCGTGGATGAGTCGCCCAAGAAATCCCGGTCAGCGGTGTCGGCGTATTTTGTGATGTTTGGCCAGGGCTCGACCCCACACGAGGTGGGCAATTGGCCAATTGGACGCCTTGGGATTTTAATGCTCATGGTCCAATCAACCATGCGAGTTGACTTTGGAAGTGAAGACTGTTGTTGGCTCGCACCGACGCTTTTTAATTGTGGTCTCCGCGGGACAATCTCATTGTAGCAGCTGCTCTGCAGTATCTTGTCCGTGCTTTATTATACAGTTGGTTCTCTTGAAGGCCCGCCTGGCTCACCAGGCACATCTGTCGCCCAGCTTACATCGTCATTTCTTGGTCAAGGGCCGACATCGGTGGCTTACCAGCAGTCTCTCACCCAAGAGCCGAAACAACTCTTCTGCCTTTCTCGCGAGTCGAGCATTGCATCGTCCTTGAATCCACGAGGTCGCTGAGGGTCATTCCTGAAGAGCCGAAAGCCCAGACGACGCCTCAGCCCCGATATCCGCGGATCCCGTCGGCGCCATTGTTGGGATCTCACGATGGCGACGAGCGGCGGGCGGATTCGCCATCTCCTCCATTCCATCAAGCATCGTGATCATGGGCTCGTTACTCAGCCTTTCTCTCGTCCTTGCCTTCCTCTCCAGCCTTCTTTTCCGTCCGCTTGGTCAAGACTTGATCAATCACGCCGACGTCCAACGCCTCGTCCACGCTCAAATATTTGTCGCGCTCCATCATGTCGTTGACTTCGTCGATGCTGTATTTATCGTATCCCTTGGCCGTGTTTAAATGATACTGCATGATTTTGTTGGATTGCTCTCGTATCCGCTGGATCTGGTTCGCGTAGATGAGAATGTCGGATGCCTGGCCCCGTGTTCCGCCCAAGGGCTGGTGGATCATGATGGAACTGTGCGGCAAGGCGAATCGCTGACCGGCTTGGCCTCCCGCCAGAAGGATCGCAGCCATCGAGGCAGCGCCACCGACACAGACGGTCGAGACGGGTGACTTGATGTACGTCATAGTGTCGTAGATGGCCATTCCTGCATCCATTGTGAGCGCTCTGTCCCGCACCATGCGTTCGCCTCTTCCGCCTCCTCATATGTGCAAGGGGACGGGCGAGTGATTTCGACAGAGGTAACAGGCGCGGTGACGCGACGAACCTGATGTGACGGAGCCGCCCGGCGAATTGATGTACATTGTGATTGGTTTCTCGGGGGCATCAGACTCGAGCCACAGCAGCTGCGCGACAATCGAGGCCGAGAGGTAGTCGTTAATCTCGCCGTTCAAGCAGATGATCCGTTCCTTTGAGAGCGTCAGCCGACTTGCCTGGCCAGTGACGCGATCGCAGCATCGACACTACCTGCAACAGTTTGGAGAAGATGTCCCCTTGAGGCGGTCAGCAAAGAATCAGAGCAAAAAGAAGCGCTCTTCGCCGGCTCGACTCACAAGTCTTCCTGCCTGCAGCCTACTGCGAGTGTTAGCAAATCGCTCGGCGCGGGTAATGGAGTCGCTGGTCGCCAGTGCTTACCGACGTTTCCTCGATGTAAGGCATCGGGATGTCCATGGACGGCGCCGAGGAGGTCGAGCTGGAGAACCCAAAGAACCGCACATTCCTGCACGGCAGCCTTCGAAAGGCCGGGGCCCAGAGTGGCGGACGCAGAGGCATTGCAATGCTGGGGATGCGGAACGGCGAAGGAGAGCTTTAGGTTGGAGGGAAGCTCAGCTAGACGGCGGACAGCTATGATGGGGTGTCCGTGTAGCTCAGATAGTTTGTGGGGCTTGTGTCGGTGCAGGCGCTATCTGCAGTACTTTGGAGCATTGTTCGCTGACGCAGGGCGTGTAGTGGGACGGCGGGCTATCATGAGGTACTACTTGGTACCGGGGATTGGTAAAAAAAAGTTCGGCCGCAGCCTGATTGACGACATGCGACTGAACACCACAGCCTCCTTTCCCAGCACCAGGCCTCTGGACACATGCATCGTCGCGCTGCACTCCCCTGGCGATGATAACTTGCACGGCGTCCCGGACAAGACACCTTAAGGCCGCAGCCAGCTCCTGCCTCCACAGACAACGATGGAAATCATATGACGCAGCGTCTCTGACGCGGGAAGCCCTCACGCAGAAGATTGAGGCAGGCTTGGGCGAGGGCGTCGACGGCAAACCGCTGCGCATCGACGCCGACTCCAAAACAATCGCCACAGCCTCGGGCAGCTTGCCCCTATCTCCCGTCCTGGACCCGGTGTGGATCAAGGCAAAGCGGCAGCCCAAAAAGGCGCCCTCGCAAAAACCGGGGGGCAGATTCAGGAAGAAGCTGGCCAACAACCCCTACGGTCAGTAACGCCGTCGCCCCCGATGAGGCCGCTGCTGAACGCCAACAGCCAGGGCGCTTGAAACCCCGATACGCAAATGCGCCAACGCGGCCGTTTCCCTACCCAGGTACTTTTTGCAGGACTTTGAGGTGGTCAAGCACCCGGCCACAGAAGAGCCTTGGTGGGTACCCGGGCAGATGGCCATCAAGTTTGTCCAGCAGAGGGCGCCCTTGATGGGTGACCGTAAAGATGCCGACACGGAGGGTCCCATTCCCGAATCCGTCCCCGAGTTCGACCCCGGCGAAATCGACTCCTCCGACAGCAGTCTGGAGCAGCAGTCGAAGCTAGCGCGCTCTGCCAAAGAGCCTGTTGCCAAGCGAGGCTGGTACAAGCAGTTCGACAAACGGCCCGAGCCAGGACCCATCACGAGCTATGTGTTGTGCCGCAAGTCGGTCATCGATCTCATCGGCGGGCCCAACAAGAAATACGCGGCCATGCTGCAGCGCAATGGCATGGCAATCACCCCAGAAACGCGCAACACCGTGTGGCGTGAGGATATGGGGGACGTTATGCTGGACATGTTTCGGCGCTATGCCGTCGACGCCCTCATCTCGTGGAGCCATCGACAAGGAAATCATAAGCACCGGTACATCCAGCCCTGTGCGAGCTGGGACGACGTCGGGAGCGTCGTGCAGAGAGGATGTGTGCTGTGGCTGCCGTCAAAGCCCGAGAGCGCAACCTGCCAGTATGTCACGTTTGACGTTGAGGGAGCCAAGTATGGGAACAAGATAGCGGTCCACAACCTGTTTTGGCTGTTTGGGGGTGAAGAGGTGGAGCGGTTGAGGCGCGAGGCTCCCATATTCCGCGACAACGAGGTGTTGGTCCTGACGCAGTGGGACAACATAGGGATCATGAGGCTGCATCTGCTCCTGTGGCGCCTTCAGGGGTATTTGGGGCCAGGGGAGGAGAGTGCATGACTAACGCAATCGGCACGACTTGCAAGGGTGTTTGCGATGGGCGCTTGCATGCCATGATCATGGCCCAGTGACTGCATGCGGATGAGATGAGAGGCTTCTTTACAACATCAACCATGAGCCATGGCTCAAACGTTCAAGGATTGCGGTCAAGACGGTGCGATTGCGACAGGCCTCGAACCCGAAGAAAAAGTCGACAGCTGGACATATTGATCTCGACGGAGACTTGCTCAAGCCGTGACACTGGAATCGTTGCCGGCTTGCAATTCACCTACTCACACTCTCAACCTTGAACAACTCGACATGGTGTGCTTTCCACAGACCAACATGGCCGCTATTGCAGGACGCGAGAAGGCCTGTCCCACCTGGTCATTTATCATTTCATTAGGATGGATTACCTATTAGTTAACAGAGTCGACCCACGAGCACGGTTTCAAACCAGCATGGTACAAGTCGAATATACACCCTTTATCCTCCTACAGAACGAGGGCGCCCACAACAGCGGCGGCACCGGCCAGCATTGCCGGTGCAGTGACGGCGGGTGCGGCGACATTCCTCGATCGGTACTCGTCGTCGTCGTCGCCAGGCCATCGGGTCGCAGAAGGGAAGCGCGGAGGCCGTTGTGCCCTCAGCTTGTCGGCGCCGTCGGTGACTCTGACGGGCGTCATGTATCTCATGTAGTCGTTCAAAATGGTGCTGGCCTGGTTTTGGTTGGCATAGTTGCACGAGGCCGTGTTCCGGTTGGGATCGAGCTGACAGCTGACCTCGACCCGGCTACATGGGTGTGGTCAGCCATGGACGACGACAAGGGAAAGGGAGAGCCCGTCTGATGATATATACTTGGCGCGGTTGTTGCCATCTCGCATTTTGTGGTCGAGATGGCCCGAAAAGGTCCTGGGGCCCTGAACGATGGTCCAGGTGTCCCTGCGATTGCAGTCTCTGGAACGGGCCCGGGGGTCGCAGTTGATGGCGAGAGTGGTAGCGGTCGAGTCGGCGTCGACGACGGAGGCGACCAGGTTGTTTGCACTGGAACCGAAGAGCAGGACATCAACCGAGGTGTGGCTGTGATCGGCTGCCAGGGCGGCGCCGGCGAGGGCGGCGAGGAGAGCAAGCGAGCGGGTCATGACAGGCTGCTTGAGGGACGATGAAGGAGGAGGATTGATGGAAGATAAATATGGAGCGGTTGGAGGATGATGGAGGACACGGCACGATTAAGGGGAAGCGGTTCTCGATGAGCTGGATGGAGGGGATTGAGAGAGGTAGCGACAGGACCCTTTTATTAAAACAGAGCGGTTCTTGATAAACCGGTTGGATGATGATGGATGACACAATTAAAGGGAAGTGGTTCTTGATGAGCTCGATGAAGGGAGTAGAGTGGGAACGAGAGGGCTCTTTTATTAAGACGGAGGCCATTTTTAACGAAGATGGGATAATTCCGAGAAAGGAACGATGGATCCTTTACTCAGCTTTTCTTGATTGACGAGGCATGAACAAGGTGGTCGTCGCTATTAGATTCAAGGCGGTATGCGAAGTGGGCATTGCCCGGGGAAATAGGGCATTTGCTGCTTAGCACTGCTGTTAATTGGATTCTTATGCGGCGGCATGATACGCGAGAAGCTATGATGAGTGGCGCGACAGCATGAGAATATGAGAAGGAAAAAAGCGTCTTGGGAATCCTGCTGTGACGGGTATTTGCCGCCTTGTTTGGGTTGTCGTGCGACCTGACGTCGATTATCTGCGCGTGCTTTACAGTAATTATACGGTGCAGGATAAAGTGCATACATAAGTTACTCCGTACTGTATATGCACCTGCAGAAGCGCAGATGCAAATCATCGGCGCCTTTTCCCTCATCTCGGCTCGGTGGATATTATTTGCTAGCGCTGACGCTAGAATCATCTCATAGTCGCATTCCCACTTGGTCACCGGAAACATCGACAGCTTCCCCACGCAAGCTGGACAGTTGGTAACACATGTTTTTACAGGCAGAACAAGGTCCAATTCGGCTCGTCTTCCCCTCGCCTGGTGGTCCGCTGGGAGCCTGCCTGTATCTACAGTGGCTGCAGTGATGATAGTACTGTACTGACCCCAGGTAGGTAAGTAAGCTCCGATCGTCGCCGGTCCGGCCCGCTGACGTGCCGCACATGGGCGCTGAGCAGCACGGACGACGCTGTAAATATTAGCTGGGCGGCCCTGACTGACTCTCGACACCTGGTCTCCCCACATCGCGTCCACGGCATATCGCGCTGCTCCCTTTTCCACCGGCCATCGAGCCCACTGCGCGTGTCAGTACTCTGTAGTCAGTCCATTCCAGGAAAGAAAAAGAAAAAAAAGGCCAGGGAAGAAACGGCAGCAGCCATGCGTGGCGAGAGCCCCGAGCTGGTCCAGGCCGAGGACTGGTCGCAGCCGGCCTCCTTCACCGGCTCCACGACGCCTATCTTCCTCATCCACGACGGCGGCGGCACCACCTTTGCCTATCACTGCCTCAACCCCCTGTACCGCTTCGTCTACGGCATCCCCAACCCCTACTTCTTCTGCGGCTCCCGCTTCGCCGGCGGCCTCGCCGAGATGGGCCGTCTCTACGCCCAGCGCATCCACGCCGCCGTCTCGCAGCCCGACTTCCCCGCCAAGAGGAACGCAGACGGCAGCGTCGACATCTTGCTCGGCGGCTGGAGTCTGGGCGGCCTGCTGAGCCTCGAGGTGGCTCACCTGCTGGCCCACGATTGCGCCGTCCGCGTCGTCGGCATCCTCATGGTCGACAGCGTCTGCCCGGGCCGGCCCAGCAACTTCCACGGCGCCTTTGTGCCACCTGATATCTCGGACGAGGGAAAGACCAAGAACCAGATCCTATCGCAGCGGTGCATGGCCGAGGCGCGCCGCATGGTGGGTGAATGGGACGTGCCCACCTGGCAGGGCCGATACGCAAGCAAGCGGCCCAGGATGGTGCTCGTGCGCGCGACCGACTATATTCCCACACAGGATTCAAGCATAAGCAGCTTGGATATCAATAGAAAAGACGCCATCCTGGGTTGGGGCCGCCACGACGAGGCCATGTTCGAGCACGTCGTCGACGTCGAGGGCCACCACTTTGACATCTTTGCCATGCACAGGATAGAATCGACTACGGCGGCGATTCGGCGAGGCTTGGACACGCTCGAGGCGGCTGTATATCCACGGGGGCTGCGAGGCGGCGCGCGAAAGATGCTCCACAAGTCGTGACGCTCTGGTGCTTGCGGAAAGATGAGGTAAAGGGAAGGAAATCTGTCTTTGGGCTCCGGCGTTTCGCCCCCTTGCTATTGGGTGGTCGGCAAGGCTGGTCCTCAGTTGTTGGCCTTGATTTGTGTCCCTTCATGCGCGTCATAGAGATAGAACTGAACAAGATGTAGGCACGCGCTCCGTGGCCACGGCATCTCTTGGAACCTGCTTTGGCAACGCGCTGTTTCCTGACCGCTTGGTCTTTATTTCCTCCTGCCCTCGCACTGTTCACAGCTTGAAACCGTCAACCGTCAACCCACTGCCTCCTCTCCCGACCTCCTCGCCCGACCTCCTTCACCGCACGTTTGACCTTTCCCTCCTCTTCAACCCACCCTCCCCCTTCGAGCCCTTCCTCTACACCTTTGGCCTCCTTCAGCCAACGCACCTTGAACCATTTCCCCCGCCTCCAACCCAATTCACCGCGCCTTCGTTCCGCTCGCTCGTGCTCGCTATTCCTTCCGCTCCAAACACGCCAGCGAGCACCTCCATCCCAAGCTCTTCGCCCATCTCTCCAGCATGTCTTGAAGAGTCGCCTTCATCAGTCGCAGATCGTGTGCGCGAGTTCGAGGCTATTCCTCTCCTCACGTTTCATCTGCAACCAGAGTCTCATTTTTCCAGTCCCAAAGGACTTGCGTCTCCAGTCATGGAGTCACAACCCGAAGTGCTCTACGCCCAAGGCGAAAGGGTCACCAAGAAAGAGAGTGCGGTGCAGAAAGCTATCGCTAGTCTCCTGGCACTCGCCAATTTGGTTGGCAAGATACCCAACCCTTCATCTGGGCTCGATCTACCCACCTGGAAGTTTCTCGTTGGTACGTTACACGAGATATCTCCGAAACTAGACCATGCTAACGCACTTCAGACGCCGTCGCCCAGGACAGCGATGCCTTCAAGTTTCTTGTGGGCGTGGCAGGGGACACTGGCATCGGCAAAAGCTCACTCTTGAACGCCCTCGTGAGCGAAACGGCAGACATCGCCCCATCAAGCCAGAACGGTGCGTGCACGGCAGCCGTGTGTTGCTTCTCGCACCCCGGCTCCGGCAGTGCCTCCCCGCTGACCTATACGGCACGGGTTTATCTCAAGTCAAAGGATACGGTCGACCAAGAGCTCAACGCCTTCTTTCAAGAGTACAATGAGTTTGAGGAACGGGTCCAGCTCGCTGGCGGCGAGGACAGCATCACATACGGAGAGCGCGAGAAGTTAAACGACCAAATCAACATCATCCGCGGTTGGTCGGGTCTGAGCAAACAACAACTGGAGGAATTTGGCCTCAACCACCAGGTGTCTGAAATCACGTCCTCTTGCACCAACAAAGAGCAGTTGTTCGAGCTGAAGGATCATCAGAGAGGCAAGGTGGTTCAGCTCGCGGATAAAGATTCACGCAAGTTCTTGCATGCCATCAAGCCGTACGTTGGAAACGCGGGCAGAACCCCGGGCCTCATTAATATCCGCTGGCCTCTTGTCGAAAAGGTGGAGATTTTCGTCGAGGCCGATCTGTTGCGCGGCGGCATCGCCCTAGTTGATCTCCCCGGCGAGATGGATGCCCTCGACGCTCGATCCCAGGTAGCCCGACGCTATTACAACAAGTTGGATAGCCTCATGGTCGTGACGCCCGGAGACCGTGCCATCGACAACAAAACGGCCATGGAAATCATCCGCGATGATCAGATCATGGACATGGAAGCTGACGGAATGATCCATGAGAATGGTCTCTGCGTCGTGGTGTCCAAGGTTGACCTGATGGATTGGAGAAACTTTGTCGAGACCGAGTACTCGAGCCAGGAGATTTCTGCCGACTTTGAGCATCTTGATCAGAACCTAAGGATAAAAGAAGGCGAAAAGCTTGCTCTAGCGCGCAGGATCGTGGACCTGGAGACGGGAGACGGCGACACAGACGGCGAGTTGGGCTCGTTGATCCACCTCAAGAACAGAGTCGCCGAAGAAATCATCCAACTGGATTCCCTCTGCCTCCGACGATGCATCGATGCTCGCAACAAGGACATCCGCACCGCTTTTGAACACTATTTCAATCGTATCAGGAATTCGACGCGCGCCAAGAAAGCAGCCGAAGTCTCGACAGGCCTGAACGTGATTTCGGTGAGCAGCAAGGCCCATCGAAGTCTTGCCAGGGGCAGGCCTGAAGCTGCTTTTCACGAAGCAGAGTCTACTGGGATTGGTGCTCTGAAAGACTGGATCATCAAAAGTTCGCTCCAGAAACGGGAAGAGCACGCCGACACGGTGCTCCATCGCTGCCAGGTGCTTTTCGACGCCATTGATGACTGGGCTACAGAGGAACCGCATGTGATGGTGATACTGCCCGAAACTGAGCGCACAGAAATCAAGAAAATTCTGGGCAAGGAACGGGCACGATTGAAGATGGTGAGTCGCGGCCTCGAGACTTCGTCGCTATCAGTCGAGTGCCTACTAACGCAGTCTCGCAGAGCCTGCGCAGCATGGTCCAGAACTTTGGGAATAGCGTTGATAAGCTTCTCTCGGAAGCCGCCCTATCCAACATTGAGAGCGGAAACGAGAATTTCTCAAAGAGGTTTGTGCCGCATGTCGATGACTATCAGAAAGCCGGATCTGATGGAAAACTACACTGGTCGACGTACGCCGCCTGCATCCGTCGACGTGGCGGCGCTTTTCGAACCTCTGGTAGACCGCGCAAGACGCACTGTTGGCAAGCCAGGACGTATGTATCCATGCCCCGGGACTGAGAGTGAGCAGCTTACTGACGTTGTTTAAGTATGGGCTGCTTTGGAAGGGGCATGCTCATAAGTGGGGGCAAGCATATGGACAGACGCTCGAGGAAAAGACGAAGAAACTAGACGGGAGGCTCCAAATGAGATTTGGACTGCACATCAAGAAAACCACCGAGGCCGAAGGCTTGCCCGTGGGGTTCCGAACTGCTTTACGAAGCTGCGCCTATAGGATCGAGAACATCTTTACGGATTACAGGTACCAGGTCAGGAAGGCCGTACGTGAGCACCGAGAGATTGCCAGGGTCAACAAGCAGAGATCGAGAGACCTTCTGGCAGGGAAGATGAACGAGGCATACGTTTTAGCGGACAGCATCACCGGTAAGCTCCTTGCCACCCCGATAAGAAGAGTTCGGGACGTGCTAACGATATGACTATGCTAGGTAAGGGCAAGCTGAAGAGACAAGTCGCCACAATGAACAAGTTTGCCGAGGAAATGAAGGAAACAATCTTTACCGACATTAGCCATAAAGTGGACGACAAGCTCCGAGAGAAACGCGCCGACTTGAGGAACAAGCTGAAGACTGAGACCACTAAGGTTGTGAATGAAATTGGCAAGATTGAAGAAAGGGTTTGTGCCAGCTGTGGGAGGCAACCAAAGATGAAGGCGAGCGCCCCTGACGAGGACGGGATAAAGGACGTTGTCTCCCAGCAAGTGAAGGAATGGAAGCAATACTGGAATCACCTGAGAGCACGCTTTCCCCGGGTGGAAGTGGTCATCGATGACGACTCGGTGGGCTCCGACGACGAGAGCGAGGACAACGGGACTAGGCCGGCGAAGAAGACCACCGCCAAGAAGAGAGCCAAGAAGGCAGCCGGAGATGGACCAAGGAAGGCGCTCAAGAAGAAAGGGGGTAAGAAGGCCAAGGAAGCCGAGGACAAGACTTTTGCGGAGACGCCGAGCACATCTGCACAGCAGCCAAGTGCCATTCGTCACGTTCGATTCAAGACTGAGCCAGACGAGCATCAAGATGGATGGGCTGGTTGTGGCTTTAGCTAGTAAGGGTTCGATGGGGGAACGGGACTACTTCTGATTGATGGGCGCGACAGCTTTGCTTGACACATGCTCATGAGCTTTGCCTGGGGGCACGACGGCGGCGGAAAAGGTTGGGGGGGAGGGAGTCAGTGAAGACGGACGTTGCTTTTGCTGGGACGGAGATGAAACGGTAATGCCAGGGGCTAGCACAGTAGACTGGGAGGGAGGAATTGCGATACGAGAGTTGAATTGCTGAGTGTAAGAGGTGCTGGCGAACGCGTCCGTCCGTCAGAGCAGAGACGACCAACCTGAACGTGTGCCTTGATGGGTGAGAGGCGTTTCATCTCGGTCGGACGAGAGAAACGGCCGGGATGGACGCACTTGGCCCGGCCCGGAGCCGTTGCCGAAAACGGAGTCGGCCCGGCCGGATGAGAGAGCTGGCACAGTATAAAACGGACCCTGGACGGAAGTGCCCGATTGGGACAGGCGAGGGAGTCGTCGAGCCCCTCCATGCCCCACCCTTCATCTCTCAGGCCCCGAGTCAGAAAGAGCCCCGCGATGACGCCGTCCCCGTCAATTTGTCCCGCTGCCGGGTCCGCCGAATCTTGGGTTGTCCTCTCCCATCCCTCGCCCTCGCCCTCGCCCTCGCCCTCTCCGCTCTCTCGCTTCTTCCATCTCACCACATCTCCCCTGGTCCTCCGCTCTCGAGAATTGGCTTCATGGAATTCGACACCAAGACACGTAGGTCGCGTCACCGCTGCCACCGCAACCCAACTGACTCGTCGAAGCCAAGTCGGTTACCAGCGACCCGACGTCGTTTGCCAGCGACTCGGTCCGCAAGCGCTGGCCCGTCATCCTGGTGAGCAGCCCATGCCTCGCCACCCCGAAGCCCAAGATTGGACGCTGACCTGCCTTGCGTTATCACAGACGGGCGCCATCGACGACCTTTACCGCGCCATCTCCAGGACCGACGACCCTGAGAAGCAGGCCGAGGGCAAGAGGATTGTCGAGCAGCTCGGAAATCTCAAGTACGAGGTCCAGCACGATCGCAAGCTCTCGTAAGCCCCTCCTCATCAGCCGCTTGTCCCTGCCCATGCTTATGCCCTGCAGACCCATTGTCGACGATGGCTACCCCCGAGAGACTGCCGCCTACAACAAGGAGGTCGAAGACCTCGGAAACCCCAGCTGGTTAGACGTCCCGTGGCTCTTTTCCGAGTGCTACATGTACCGGTAAGTGGCCAACGGCTCATCTGCCCGGCGACGGCCCGCCTGACACCCCCCGTCGCAGACGCATCAGCACCTTTTTCCAGCTCACAAAGCACTGGAAGAGCTACGACATGTTCGCCCGCCAAAAGATCGACACCTTCCGAACCTCGCGCAACGCTGTGCTGGAGCTGGCCTCCCGCTACAGAGAGCTCATCGAGCAGCTCCGCGCAGACAAGGACATCACCCGTGACGACGAGGCTGAGAAGCTTTTATTCTCGGAGTTCTTCGAGATTTGTCTCTGGGGCAATGCCACCGATCTCTCCCTCCTGACCAATCTCACCTACGAGGACATCCAGAAGCTCCAGGGCAGCGCCGCCCGCAAGGCTGCCGAGGCCAACATCCTCATCAACGACCTCCCCGCCGCCTACGATATCCTCCACAAGGCCCGGGCCGCCGGGAAAAAGGAGCGCCGCGTCGACTTTGTCCTCGACAACGCCGGCTTCGAGCTCTACGTCGACCTCATCCTCGCCGGCTTCCTCCTCTCCTCGGGCCTCGCCACCCATATCGTCCTGCGCCCCAAGTCGATGCCTTGGTTCGTCTCCGACGTCCTGCCCGGCGACTTTGCCGCCCTGCTCACTGCAATCTCCGACCCAAAGACTTTCTTCGAGACTCAGTCCGAAGAGGAGCAGCTCCAGGGCACGACGCCAACGCTCTTGGCCGATGAGGAGGCCCAGGACCTGCTCTTCGTCTTCCAGGAATGGGCCACGCTCCATGCCGAGGGCCAGCTCATCATGCGCCCCAACCGCTACTGGACCGCTGGCGGCAGCTTCTGGCGCCTCCCTCACGAGGAGCCCGAGCTGCACAAAGATCTCAAGGATGCCGAGCTCGTCATCTTCAAGGGCGATCTCAACTACCGAAAGCTCACTGGCGACGTAGGTGATCCCGGCGCCCGCCAGCTGCAACTAGTGTTCGCTAATGATTTGTCTAGGCTCACTGGGATGCCACCACCCCCTTTCAAGAGGCGCTTGGGCCCATGGGCAAGGGCTCCGGCGTCAACGTGCTGTCGCTGCGGACGTGCAAGGCCGATGTCGTCGTCGGGCTGCCCCCGGGCAAGGATGAGGAGCTGAAGAAGACGGAGGGCGGCGGCGGCGACAGCGGAGCCAGGAGGTGGGCGTGGCACGGCAAGTGGGCCGTTGTCTGCCTTTCCGAGGGATCATAGAGCTGCGACTTGCATACTTTTCTCTCTTCTTTTGGCTTCTGCGCTTGAAAACTTGACTATAGACGATAGAAATGTTAAAATGGGGTTGGTTACACGTCGGCTGACTTCGGGGCAAGCTTGCGGCAGGGTATCACCCTGCAAGACGAGAGCACTCGGGCGTATGTCATGTCATTTACATCATGGCAAAGGGATTTGGCAAGAATTGAAGGCTACGTATTTGTCTGATCTAACCCTTCTCCCGGACCAGCAGTTGGACCCTCTCCAGCCCCCGATGCGCTCGCAGATGGCCGCTCTCGAAAAGACCTCGAAGCTACAATGGAGACCGTCTTGGAATATCGAGCGTTCAACCTTCCGTCTCAGCAATGCTGACCCTAACTGCACCCGACTTCGATGCACATAGTTGATTCCCTCAGCGCTTGGAAGGTCTGACGCGGGTGCGGTAGGAGGGTGGCTCCGTGTAGGACGGGGCTTCGGCCGAGGATGCCTCGCTAGACGACGGCTCGTATGGCGCCGTCGCCGGCCCGGCCGGGGGGCCTGTACTGCTCATGGGACTTTGTGCGGGGGGCTTTCTCGTGGTGAGCAGCGTCGTGCCCGGGGAGACTCCTGCGTCGGAAGAGGTCGAGCCGCTGCCTGTGGCGGCGTCGACGGACTCGCTGAAACTCGTGGCGGTGGAAGAGCCCCGGACATCAGAGGGCATCGGGGACGGCACCGGGATGGAAAACTCGTAGCCGCCCGGCGTGTCGGTCCTGGGCTTAGACATGGATGGCGTGGAACCGGCGCCCGAGGACGAGGGAGCATGATGCCCGGGCCACGCCGTGGTCCCTTCGCTGGCCTGTGACGATGCCGGAGATCCTGCCACGCTTGAGGATGCCGAGATGGAGCCCGTTGCGCCGGCGGACGAGACGGCGGTGAGAATGGCTTCGCCGTGGGTTGATGAAGAGCCATATCGGGGCGCGGGCCGTGTGTGAGTGCCGGTACAAATCGAGGTCGAGCAGTTGGCCCTCTCGTAGGTATTGTGTCCCCAAAGAGGCCCGCGGGACGTGCCGGAAAGCTGGTCATCGACCGGAGCACCCAAAGCGGACGACGCCGACAAGGAGGCACGGGGAGTCGATTCCGGCACGGGGACGAGCCGGGTCACCTCTCCCAGGACCGTTGTCGTCGTCGTAGCGCCGTGCTCCGAGGACTTCCGCCCGTAAGGAAGAGTTTCGATGGGCGGCGGCGGCCGAGACCCAGGCGGGCCTCGGACAGACGACGACGCCGACGCCGACGACGTGGCCGTGAAAGGGGGCACGCCGCAGTAGGACACGAGCACAGCGCAGTCGAGCTCGGTCGGGAAGCAAGACGAAGGCCGTGCCGCGGCGACGGTTGCCACGGTGGCCGTGACGGTGACGGTGACGATGCAGGACGTTGCTGCGACGCCGGCTACGGCCATCGAGACGCTGTACGGCCCCTTTGCTTAGCAACGACCATTACTCACTTGCTTCCTCTCATGGGATGTCTTGCGGCAGAAGAATGGGGAAGCGTACCCGAAGGCTGCCAGGGCCAGGGGATTCGTTGGCTTGACCATGGCGATGGGGGCCGTTTATCAGCGCGGACGGGAGGTGCTTGGAGAGATTCAGCGAGGCTGGTGCGTTGGAGGGTAGGAGGAGTCGAGCCTGTTGTCGTGAAGATGGCATTGAATCGGACATGGCTCTCTCTCGCGGCTTCTCATGCCCATTTATACAAATCGAGAGATGGGCTTGCCGTGACCGCACTGCTCATAAACCTCCTGGCTTCTATCACACAAGCATGACCGCGTCGGCACTCCCAGTCTGAATCATCCTCCTCCGCGAGGCTGTTGTACAGACCCGATCCCGTCTGGTGCGTCCATCGGTCCGAATGGCCTCCCTCCCCGACGGGAGCTACCGAGACCTTTTCCCCTTTCGCCGCAGCCAGGTTCGATGTCCTCCCGAGGATATCGAAACCGCAGCTGCGGGATGAGCTAAAGAAGAAAGTCTTGAGAAGAGCCGAAACCGAATGCAGAAGGACTCATGTGGTGTGACAACTAGACTGGGGGGCCACCGAGAGCGAGCGAGACATGGTCCGTTGTCCACCAGCCCGTCGTGGGAGAACACACCGTCGGGGATCTCACTTCTTTCCAAGAAACAAGTTGTTGTGCCTTGAACCCCCCATTTCAGGGACGATGCAGAAGCTTGATCTCGCGTGGCCGCCCCGTGGCACAGGTGTGACTTGAAGATGCTCTTGTCTGTCGTGGCCGGGGAATGGCATGGGCGGTTGAGGACAGGATATGCATGAGCAGCAGCACCGTGCCTTGCGCGGCTGCGTGCAGGAGCCCCCCCCCCCCCTTATTTGTCGGACACGAGCATCGAGCTCGGAGATGTGGCTGAGGGATACACACAGACAGCCGAGGGGGCCAGTTGCCGCAGACGGTCTCACCTGGTACGGGAGAACACTCGTGGCGGGAGGCTGCACACCGTCTTGCTCTTTGTTTCTTTGCGAGAGGACACAGAGCTGTGTGAGATGGAGCAAATTGCACTGCGCCATGCCGTGCCCGTGGCGAGGCCTCCCCTTCTCGACAAGTCTCGGGTTGATGCTTTAGAAGAATCGTACGAGAGACGCTCAGGAGAAGTGAGCAGCCGCAGCTCTAAAGCGTTCGTTTAGTAATACCCGAGTCAAGCAGATGAAGATGCCCATCTCGACCGTGGGAACAGGGTATGCCCAGGCACCATGGAATAGAGCTGGTGCGACTTGGGACGAGGTCGCTTGACATTGATTCAAGACACCGGATTCAAGCTTCTCGTCGTTGCGCCGAACCCACACCGCCATTATACGCCGATGAGGGCAGAAACGGAGGCACAAAGCATTGCTGGGACGTTTCATGGGCTATTCCAGCGGCACGCAAGACTGAGACAAAGGCGTCACGGCGGCTCAGTCGTTGTCCAGAGGCTGCAATGTCCCGTGGTGTCTGGCTACTTCTCTCTTCTCAAGACACCATCAGTGTCGGAGGTTGACATCAACTGACTCAACTCTTCCAGACGTCCAGCAAGCGGAGGAGGCCATGACCAGCCCATGCTCCTCCATTACATGGATGCCTTCAACACCTTGAATGCCTCGTCACGGCCGCCCTGGAACCGCGTCTCGGCCGTCTTCCAGTTGATGACCTTCCATATGTTGTCGACGTAAGCAGCCTTACCGTTGAGGTACTAGACACGGAGATCGGGTAAGCAAACAATCATCATGGTCACAGCACGATCCCCCCTTTCTCACCTGCAGATAGTAGGCGTGCTCCCACATGTCGACGCCCAGGATAGGCACCTCCCCGCCAACGACCGGGTCCTGGTCCTTGGTCGTCACGATGCGCAGCAGGGCCGGCCCGTCCCGCACCAGCCACCCCCACCCGCTGCCCTGCAGGGCCAGGAGGGCCTTTGCAAAGGCACCCTTGAACTCGTCGAGGCCGCCCCACGTCTTGGTGATGGCGGCCACGAGGCTAGGCGCCGCGCGGAGCGGGTCGGCGGCTTCGGGGGAGCTCGCGGGCGCCAGGTTCTCCCAGAAGAGGCAGTGGTTGATGTGCCCGCCGCCGTGGAAGCGGATGACGCCCTGCAGCGCAATCTGGCCGGCGATGTCGCGCGATGCGACGGCGGCGGCGTGCGACGAGAGGGCGCGGTTGAGGTTGTCGACGTAGGCTTGGTGATGCTTGCTGTGATGCAGCTCCATGATCTGGGCCGAGATGCTGGGCTCGAGAGCCTGTTTGGCAAAGGGGAGACATGTCGCATGAGCTTGCTAGTCTTGTGTCAAGGAAGCGGGAGCAGGGCATTCAAGGGCATACGTCGTAGGCGTAGGGCAACGCCGGGAGGCTGTACGTGGAGGCAGACATGGCGGGCAGTCTGGCTCCGCTGGTCGTTGGGTGAGGACGGAACGGGTGTCGAACTCTCTCTATGGTGTTGCTTTATCCAGTCTTTGAGAAAGGACAAATGAGTCGCGGGAGAGGAATGAGAGCTGGAGAGGTTCAGTTTTGCATGGATGGAACAGAGGCAAAACGACAGAAAGCGAACTGAACAGGGCTGTGGCCGTGGCTCTCCCTTTTTTCTGGAGCATTTCCCCTCAAACCTGCTCATCAGGGTCTCATGGCTGGACTGCGAACAGATACACCCCATGCGACCGTTTGATTGGTCCGTCGGCCGATCCAAGCTCAGGTCCACGGCTGGGCTGGGTCGGCGGGCACCTTTATGGCCTCCCTCGTCGTCATGCGAGGCCGTTTCCTCTCGATTTCATTTCCGGTTCGGCTGGTGTTCCTCGGCGTTGATGGCATGCACCGGGCCGTCCAGCGTATATGAGCCCTGCCTGCCCCGTCTCGCCTGGTCCCATTGACATTGCCGAGGCAGAGCACCGACTCCATCACCATCACTCCATCACCCTCACTCTCATCATCGTCCACCAGTCCCCTCTGAATCCCACCATGTGCGGTCCAGAAACCTCAGATAGGCCCCGCGGCGGTGCGCTGGCCGCCCTCATGTCTCCCTCGGTTGCCGGCGTGGATCCGGCCGTCTCGATTCGCGGCGACCTGACCTTTCACACCCCCGGCCGGCCCGGCAGCACCGAGGCAACCCACGCCCGACTGACGCCAGAAGCCGCGCGCGAAATGAGCGCGTTGGGCGATCTTCACGTTGTTATCCAGTATGTCTGACTGTCTCGCTCTGCATGTTCTCGCACGACCAACTGATGGAGACACGTGCTAACGCCCTCTAAAGTACCAGCGGAGATCTGACGAGGTCCGCCGAGGACTGCGGCCTCTTCCGCAGCTTCGATCTGCCGGGTTTCGAATCGCTACGTACGGCAGACCACGTCGAACTCTCACTCGACGAGCCGCTGTCGCTCGAGGTCGGGAATGGCATCATTGGCAGACGGGTCTCTCTATGCTCTCGCCGACCCTGCGGGCAGGAAGTCATCGTGGCCGAAGGCATTGTCGGGTTCAACTTTGCCGAGTCATCGCAACCTCAGCTGTGAGGGCGACGGGTGAAGAACTTTGCATTAGGGCTGCGGAGGAAGCAATGCTGGACAGGGCCCGTCGACATGAAGTAACGAGATACCCTAGATGGGCGACGATGAGGCCCACGGAAGCATGATTCCGTGTACAATAAGATGATTCATAGCTTTCAAAGGCCCATGTGTCTGATACATACCAGACATGCATGTGCATTGGGCTCCGCTTTAAGCCTCGAGTCTGATTCAGGAGCCCCCGATCTGGATGGCGTCATCCTGTCTGCTTCGGATGTCTAAGCCATGGCATCAACACGAGTGGGTCTTGGACATTGATGCGACAACACGATGCTGCGAAGTGGTCTGGCGATGGTGGGTCGGGCCTGTTGAAGATGCGTGAGAACAAGGTTTGGGAGGAGGAGGAGTAAGAGGAGAGGCTCGGATGGATCCTTATCCATCCATTATGTAATCAAGACCCGCCCATCCCCCTCTTATGTAAACATTTGAACCCCGGTTCATCCTCCCAGCCACTCGACAACTTCATCCGTCCAGCCACCGCCCAGGCCAAGCCATGTGAAGCAACAGCGAACTGGGCCGCCTTGTGGCACGCCCTCTCAGACTTCTCAAATCATCTCGTCCGCCTTGCATCGCCCTCCCGAACTGCCTACTCCAGATGTGGCGGTAGCATCGCTCCATTCCTTTCCCGCCTCTCCCTTCCGACTCGCAGACCGAGTCGACAATGCCCTTTGTCGCCAACACTCCAGAGTCCCTCCTCGGCCGTTCCGACTCTAGAGACCCCGGCTCGACCTGTCGAGGCATCACCTCCAACGGTCGGCCCTGTCGGCGACCAATCGCCCGCTTCCCTTCAGGCTCTCTTGCCCCGCCTGCCCGGCCCGTGAAGCCAGATCTCGGCGATGAGAATCTCTACTGTTGGCAGCACAAAGAGCAGGCAAGCCGCTCAGCGCAGTCTAGCCCGGGGCCGAGGCGAAATGTCCAGCCCATCCTGGAACAGCGGTCCAGCTTAGACACGCTGGCCGACAGGCTGGGCCTGATGGACTTGCCGCAAAAGCCCAAGGAGAAGCGCAACGGGCACACAAAGGCCAACAATGGCAATGCGCACGCGGCCAAACCGACCAAGCCCAAGCCAAAGCAAAGCGTCTCTTTTTGCTTCTGCTTCACTATGCCCGTCGACGACGCCAACGAGCCCACCCCACCGAGACCACGGCCCAAACCGAGGCCCCTCCAGCAGCACGCACCATCCGTCGCTGTTCCAAGCGCCGGGAAACACCATAAACAGCAGCGCATTCCCGTACCGACTGCCTCGCACAGCAAGAATTCGCATGCTTCCAAAGCATCCAATACTTCACAGACTGCTCAGTTCAAGAACCTCATTCCAGATGCTCTTGACGCGGCCACCGCTTCGACACTCATGGCCGAGCTGTGTCGTCCACTCGCAGAGGCCGAAGAGGCGGGCTACATCTACATGTTCTGGCTTACTCCGGTGTCCAAGCAAGACGCAACTGCCCCCATCGCTGCCGCACGCTCTCTCCTCGCACCCCAATCGCCCCGCGGCGGCGGGCACGCCCGACGAGCGAGTGATGTGGTCTCCCGCTTCGCCGACTCGGGCGAGGCCGGCGCCCGGGGCACGATGCTACTCAAGATAGGGCGAGCTGCAAACGTCCAGCGTCGCATGAACCAGTGGCAGCGGCAGTGCGGCCACGACATTGAGATGCTGCGGTACTATCCTTACATCCCCGGGGCGAGCGACACGTCCGCAACGGGCCAGTCGCCCCGCATGACGCCGCACTGCCGGCGGGTAGAGCGCTTGGTCCACGTCGAGCTGTCCGGCCTGGGGCTCCGGGCCAGCTTGGGGACGTGCGAGGCGTGCGGGCGCGACCACCGCGAATGGTTCCAAGTCGAGGCGTCGAGAGAAGCAGTCCGAAAGGTGGACGAAGTGATTCGGAAATGGGTCGAGTGGGATGAGACGACGGCGTGGAAGACTCGACATTGACAAGAGGCATGTCTGCCATGATTAAGAAGAGCGGGCGGGCGATTCAGAGCATTTAACTGGCGCTGGTTTACATCTTTCCAACATATGAATCAAGGAGCATAAGCACGGGACCTCAAAGGCGCGCTGGACTGTCATGTACAGTACTTGATTCCTCGCGTTTTGGATATTGACTCGAGCAGCATTTTGCAAGCACGGCATTGGCGCCATTTCTCTTCATTTCCCTGTCTCTCGGCCATATCAAACATTCTTTCCTTCTCACTGCCGAGTCATCATGGTCGCTGCCCTCTACAACACCGTAGCTTACTTGCTCAACCTACAACTCTTGAAAGTCCGGGGGACAAAGCACGAGCTTAGGATGCCCACTATCGTCACTCGTGATGCCTGCCAACCTCAGAATACTGCAAGATGGTAGGTCATGAACAGGATGATTTTCCTCTGCAGTATCTGGACCAGAGAGCATCATGACCCAGTACAAGACGAACAAAGGATGTCTTACTCGCTGTACATGATTCGAATACAGCTTCTACATGTGCAGCAGATGCACTAGTTGAAGTCCCTTGCCTTGTTATTAGATATAGCACTTCGTGGCTTGATCACAAGACAGAGTGCGGCTTGCCCATGCAGGGCGAGCAACGTGACCAAATCCGCCGACCCCCTAAGCTCTGACAATGTTCTAGACTCTTGACTAGGGTCACCACGAGTAGAATCAATTTTACGGGGAACAAGGAGGTAGAATTATTGGTCATTTGCATTTGATTGGTATCGTGAGTGGAAATAAAAACAACTTCAACACATTGAGCTCCCGTCCAAACTCCGCAAAGCATACTCCTGCGAGCGTCGTCCGTAACATCACTAGCTTTAGCGTATCGTTCCATGCATGCAGTAGCTTCATGGAGCCCTGTCAAAGTACATACGAGCGGCGGAGCCAAATGCCAGCCGTGGGGGGATCTCCCTGGGGCCGTCAACGCCAGGAGCCACTGTCCATACACACTCAACTGACTCTAGGCGGCGCCTTCTCGTCGTTCTCGTGGATCTCAGACAGTCTGGGCTCAGCCTGGCGCTTGGCCTCGACGTCGCCGTGCTCGACACGATTGATGAGCTTGGTGACGACGCGCGTCTTCCACGCCGGAGTACCCATGTATTTGAAGCCGTTGGGATCCTCAAACATGGCCTCCGTCTCCTCGAGCGTCTTGCCGGCCGTCTCGGGGAAGGCGAAGAAGACGTGGAAGAAGGCCGCGGCGTTGAAGACGCCAAAAACGATATATGTCCTCCACTTGATGTTGGCCAGGGCGACGGGGACAAAGAGGCCGAGGGCCGTGTTGAAGGCCCAGTTGCCCGAAGTGGCGAGGGCCACGCCCTTGCCGCGAAGGCGCAGGGGGAACAGCTCAGGGGGGTAGATCCAAGACACGGGACCCCACGTCGGAGCAAATGAAGCGACAAAGAGGTAGGTGCAGGCAATGAGACCTGTGGCGGGGGCGCCCGTCACCCTCATAGACTGAGCGCGGACATTGTCGACGCCGCCAGGGACTTCCTCACCGTAGACAGCGAGGATGCCAGCATTGGCAAACATCCAGGTCGCCATGAGCACGGAACCGACCAGGAGGGTGCCTCGGCGGCCCCAGCGGTCGACGAAGAGCAGGGCGGGGATGGTCATGACGACGTTGATGATGTACTGGATAGATGAGGCCAGGAGACCAGCGTTGCCTCTGTAGCCAGCCATGCTGAACACGTTGGTGACGTAGTACACTGAGGCAGAAGTTAGCAGGAGCAAAAAGATGGCAATTAACTTGAAAAGAGAGGGAAAGTGCAAAAAGGGGCTTACTCATGACGTTCATGCCCGTCAACTGGGACCAGATCTGGGTGAAGAGGCCAATGACGGTGCGGTTAATCATCTGAGGCTTGAAGAGGTCGAGGTAGGTCACGTCGGAGTGGCGACGCTCAAACTCGCACATGTCCTTGATGTCCTGAAGCTCGTAGGCGACGAATGCATGGTCGGGATCACCCTTGCCGTGGACGAGAGCCAGGACGGCACGGCACTCCTCCCAGCGGTCCTTGCGGGCCAGCCAGCGGGGGGACTCGGGGAGGAGCATCATCATGAAGAAGAGGAAGACGGCGGGGATCATCTGGAGGCCCCAGGGGACGCGCCAAGAAGCGACGCTGTAGCTGGTGGGCTGCTGGTCGCCGATGAAGGAGCAGCCGTAGGAGATGTAGTACATGATGAGGATGCCCCAGGTAATGGCCCATTGCTGCATGCCGATGAAGCGGCCCCGCTTGGACGGAGGGGAGATTTCGGCAATGTAGACGGGGACCTGAGCGGATTCAATGCCGACGCAGAAGCCGTTGATGACACGGCCGACGGCGAGCATGGGGATGTTTTGGGAGGCGCAGATGATGGCCGACCCGATCACCCTGGGTTGGTCGGTGAGCGAGGTTGGAGACGGCGCATGGACGGGTGTGGGCTTACCAGATGACGCAGCCGGTCATGATGGACGCCTTTCGGCCGGCGCGGTCAGAGAGGGGACCCGAACACAAGGCACCGAGCCAGGAGCCGGCGGCCATGGAGGCGGTGATGCCGCCTTGGACGAGTTCGCGCGGCCCGCTGCAGGCGTTGTTGTTGAAGGGCGGTCCATCGGGGCCCTGGTTGAAGTAGCACTTGTAGGCTTGCTCGCCGAGCTGGGCCGACAAGGACGAGATGTCGAAGCCAAAGAGGCCGCCGCCGACGACGGCGACGGCGGCAATGACGTAGATGTTGCCAATCGCCATGGCGAATGGCTCCTCGGCTTGCAAGCTACAGCAGGTCGGGCTGGTGGCAAGAGGCTCCGATGGTGATCAAGGAAGCCCAGAGTGCTGGCAAACCATGACAGACGTGCACGCGGCGCGGGCGTCACTCGTGGGCAACGGGCTTTTATACGAGGACGGGGCAGCTGCATCAGTGCAAGGAGCCACGGCGGCTGCATGGTGGAACGCCACCAAGACTGCAGTCCAGAAGGCACCCCTGGCAGATGCGGATGAGCTTGGTTGGGGGCCCGGCGGCATCCCCAGATAGTCTATTCTTCTCCTCCCCGAGGCCCCGCCCGCCATGAGGAGAGCAGGGCCTGTGGGCTGTGAGAAAAGGGTGTGTGGTGGCTGCGTCTGGGTGGGGGAGGGGGAAGCTTCCCCTTTTTCCTTTTGTTTTCTCACTCCGACGGACCGACTTTGGCGTGCGATGGCGGCGCGAGAGATGGAAGTGAAGCAGATGGGAGATGAGGCGGTGTTGTGCCTGTACAGTAAGAGAGCGTCTTGGCAACGTGTCTGCGACATTGAGGCTGCACAGCTCGACATACAGTGCACGTGCTAAGAAGGCCTGGCCGTCCAACAAATGAACGACGCCAGCCGGTTGCATGTGCGATCAAGGACGTGAAGAGATGCAACGTCCGAGGCAGCGCAGCCAGTCAGAACCCGCGGTTGGCTCGCTCGCTCACTCTCGCCGGGGGCGGGGGCGGACATGTTGCCCTCAAGAAACCTCAAGAATGGGCTAGGACGGCTAGCGGCGAGGGGGGCGCCAAAGTGCATCGTGGCGGTTTGTGCGGCCCGCTCGTTTCAGCGAGGGGAACGCGGATGGCGGAGGGGGGATGAAAAGAAAAACGGACAATGGAAGAAGCAGGGAAAAAAGAGGCCGAGGATTAGGCCGCTGTAGGGATGGCAAGCGGGCGAATGAGGGCTCGAGGCGTCCTTGCCTTGCTTCGGTCCTCGTTCGGCGACATGCTGCCGAGCGGGCAGGTGCAGCCAACGGACAGTCATCGCGGCTTGCTTACTGTACAGCGGGCCTATCAAATGGCGCGCAGATACCCGGGGTACCGGTGACATGCAAACACACCGCCAGAGGAACAGAGATATTAATTACATAAATACATACGGATACATCCTGTACAGTACATGCCGGCATTCACAGGGCAATGACAGGGGCCCAAGTTCCTCAGGCGAGCAGCGAGGCCAAGGTAGGTACTGTACGCACCTGCTTACGCAGAGACCGTGGGCAGGTTGGCAGTGGACGAGAAATACCCCATAGCACCATCTGCACTGTGTATATTCCCCCGATCTGCATCCGCGGGAGCAAATGCAATTTACTGCATGCGCAGTGACAGCCTATGGGGGAGGATGATGGATGGGTGGGCACGCTCGCGCGGGAGTGCTCGCGCGGGCGTCCTGGAAGCACCGTGTACTTACTGTAAGCCGCTTTGCTTGGTTGGCCATGCTCGAAACCGCACGACTTGGGAGCACAGTCTGACGAGTTGGTCGACGCGGACTGAAGTCATGACGCAAGAAAAAGGGTTGCTCCATCAAAAGTCACGGATACTCCGTCCGTACATCACCAGTCGTCGTGGTCGAAATGGGCCCGTGGCAGCAACAGACTCCACTTCCCCGGACCCCAGATGCCAAGCATGACGTCGGCCAGAGAGATCCCTGGACGAGGCCAACGTCTTCTCCATCCAATGCGCGCTTGGACCGGCCGCCTTGCCGGCTGCGCACCGCAGGTCACGAGGCCCGAGGATGAGTGGGGAAGCCAAAAGGCGGCGTCGAGCCTCGCCCCAGCGACAGCCGAAGCAGACTACAATATCGACCAGTGAGTAGTAGTCCAGTACAGAGTACGAAAGGGCACAGTAATTATTAGTGCGCGAGCAAGCGTGTCACTGTCTGGGGTGCTAAATAGTCGCCGCGTGGACATGGGAAGCACGACGGGCAGGGGAGGGAGGGGTCACACAGGGCGGCCCGTTGCTGGACGACTATCCGTACTACAATCTATATATGTACATGTACTGGACATTGACCTGGGTGAGCTTCTTCTGCAAGGGTCGGTCTCTGTCGATTGGTGAGGGGGGAACTGAAGAGGGGGAACTGGTGAGGGGAGCTGCCGAGAAGAACGACGAGGAAGCAAAGTCCACTTCACCACCTCATTTGCCTGTTAGCAACTTATCCATCAACACGCCGCCTGCCAACGTGGCATCGGCCAGCCGCTCATTGTCTGTCTGTCTAAGCCATGCTGTATGTAACTTATACTATGAATCACTACGGTTAGACCAGCGCCAAAAGACCAACCGCTTCCATCCCTTGCACCCCCTCGCGCCTCGCTGCCTCCGTCCACGCGACCTCCTGTCCTCTACTGTACTTCGTCTGGATCCATGAGCAAGAGGGTGCAGCCGGACTGCATCGCTAGCCTCCCAACCTCCCCCATCACGGGATCCGGTCTCGTGCTACAGGCGACGCAAGCAAAGCCGGCAACAAAAGACACTGTCCAACCGCTTGCATGTGCCCATGTCCGGTACAGCTCGCCCTGCCAATATGAATGCATACTGTACTGTACAGCCCCTGACCCTGCTCCCAAGTCGTCTCTGTACGACAGCAAAAACGAAGCGGGGGCCAAGACGCCGAACCACTGGGCACAAATTCATATTCAGCTACTGTTTGGCGCATGGGTTGGCGAGTCCCTGCCGTGGCTTTGCTTACCGTCAGCCGCCTGCTGTTTCAGCGTCGACAACGACGACGGGCCTTGTTCAAGCCGCTACTGTACTGCTGCACACCAAACATTCGTACGTGGGTCGATTCGCATGGCGTATTAGCTGATGTGTTGATGTGTCCCAGTCCCCAAGCCCAGGCTCGTGCCTTACACGGAGCACATGGCCCGGGCTGAAAGAAGGCGTATGCTTGTTGGACCGAGCACTGCACGGTTCTGCTCATGGCGTAAGAACTTTCTCGGATCCGTCTTGTATCTCTCCGCTGTCCCTACCATGCGACAAGGGTCGCGGAGGAACAGGGTCCACTGAACGTGACGCTTCGTGTTGGCTGCGTGGCCTTGCCGGCCCCGCAACCCTTTCACCTTCACCTCGGGACCGTTCGCCCTCGTCCGTTTACCCTCGTCGGCCGATTCGTCGCCATAGCGAGTGATTCATGAACCAGGCCACCGTCTGGCTTCGTCCTCACTGCTTCACTCCTTTCTTGCCTGCACCGTACTTGTAAAGGTTTCAAGGGTTTACACCGCTCGTTCATAGAGCAAGTGGAGGCATATCACTTCGTGTGCTCATCTACCTTTTCATCTCACCCAAACTGGCCTTATTTTGGAGCCTTTACGCAAACTCGTCGCTTAATCTGTCTTTCTGCATCTGTCTGAGCCTGCGCTCGCACATGTCGCAGCCGCTTACCATGCCGTCCACAACATCATCCATCAGCGAAAACTGTTGTCGAATCGCTTAAACGTGTACCCAATGAACGGCAAGCTCATCTCTAGCGACTCCGCCGGTTGCTGCGATTGGTCGTGCAGGGCCATCTGCGCCGCTTGAGTATTCAGCAGGCTCGCCTTTTCGGTCTGATCAATTTCGTCAGTTGGGAAGTAGGACGTGTCAATGCTTGAAGTCAGGCGCGGCTCGAACGGGGCCCTGATCTGACGCAGGCCGTCGAACTGAACTCCTCGGAAAAAGGGATGCGCTTTGAGCTCCTCGGCGCCGCCGCGGCCAAGTCGGTCTTCGGGGTTGCAAATCAAACTACAAATTGATCAGCGTCGACTCCACGGCCAAGAAACAAGCTTGTTTCTTACCTCCGGATCACACTGTCCGCTTCGCGGCTCAGCTGGATGTCGTCAGGAAACTGTAAATATTCCCGCCAATTCGCAATCATCTGATACGTGTCTTGCCGGTTCTCGGCACAGAACGGAGCCCATCCCACCAAGCATTCGAATGCAATGGCCCCGAGAGACCACCAATCACAGCTAAACGAGTACCCTTGACCAACAAAGACCTCGGGCGCAATGTAGTCTTGGGTCCCGACTGGGGAATACGCGACTCTCCTCCGCGAGCGACGCCATTCGTTGACCTGCGATCGATTGCTTATTGTGAGGTTGATTTGGTCCAGTGTAACGGAATTGCGATCTCTGGGTTTATCCGCATTGGTTGAAACCATTAGCTGCTGGTAGTAGCTGTTATCGTGTAGTTGATGGAAGCCGGTGGAGAGTCCAAAGTCGGTCAGCTTGATGTGACCGCCATGGTCCAGCAGAATATTGTCAGGCTTGAGGTCCCTAAGCCGCGTTAGTGACAAACGTAGCGTCGGCTGTACTTGAGAAATGTCCATACCGGTGGATGAAACCGAGTTGGTGGACTGCTTCGATAGCCAAGATACACTCGGCCATATAAAACCGGGTAACGTCTTCAGAGAAAACTTCATATTTTATCAGCATCGTCATCAAATCCCCACCAGGTAGGAACTCCATCAGCATGTAGAGAAAATGCGCATCTTGAAAGGTGGTGAAGAGCTTGACGACCCAGGGGCTCTCCGCCTCGGCCAGAATATCGCGTTCAGCCCGCACGTGTGCAAGCTGCTCCCTATAGACCATCTCCGTTTTGATTAGAGATTTCAGCGCATAGACCTGACCGCCGGCTTTCTTTTGCACCAGCTTGACCTCGCCAAAGCCCCCACGGCCAATGATCTTTATTGTCTGGTAATTTTCGGGCGTATCCTTGGTTCGCAGGAATCGTAGGTATTGCCCTTCTCTCTGACCGGCGCTGGACCACATTTGTGCCTGTCTCACTTGGCTGTCGTTTAGCTCGCTGAGCTTTTTCTGGAGCTCGGTTTGTCTGCGTTGGAAAATGTCGTTAGTTCAGAGTCGGACGTGGAGGATGACGCGTCACCTTTGGTTCCTTTCCCGAGCACGCTTTACGCTGTCCTTGAAAAAGTCCGAGGCCAGCTGTGAGCATTGCTTCTGGCTGTTGTTTGCCGCCGGGCCATGCTGGTCTGGGTTGCGATTCGGAGCTTGGGCGAACATTGCTTCGCAGGCTTCCCCAGCTGGGAGACAGGGGCCCTGTTGGAAAGTGCGTTATTCAACGCTTCTAATGTTGCCGAATCGCTCTTCACGGCCTCTTAATCATTGCTCGCCGCTCTGTCGGCATGATCAGGCAGAAATGGCAGCAAAGCAGCCTTTAGGCCTTGAGTGGATGATGGAGAACTAGGAATTGAGGCGGTGTCCCCGAAGGAGCAGAGTGGCGCAGAGAGGCCGAACGCTGGGAGTCAGGGGTCGTGGTTACACGCGCTGTTGATTGGTTGATTGTTTGGTTCGGTTGAGGTCGGAGACGCTCAGTGCAGTCAAGCCAAACTCGCCTCGGCTGACCACAGTCTCATCATTTTACTTTCTAGGCGCAACATCAACTTGAACGAGCCTTTGAAAACTACGATGGGTTTGAAACTGACTCAAGCATGTTGCATGCAACTGACTGGCTCCGTTCGATTGCTTGCCTCGGTCAGGATTTGTGCAATGGAGGCACTTCCCAGCTCAGTGGCGCCCTTCCTCTTGGGAGGCCCGTCTTGCAGAAAGTCATAAAACTTGACAATGCTACTGACGTCCGAGACAGTGGCTGCTCGATTGAATCTCAAAACAGGCAATAGCATTTAATTCTACCCATTTCCGTCTATCTAGCTCTCATGCTTCGCGACCCGCAATCAATGGACGTCCTGAGCCACTCTCTTCCCCGAGCAAAGCTTCTCGATTTTCCTTCCGGAGAGTGGCAGCTTACTCGATCCCAATCGAAGTCGACCGATGGGATGGTCAGTTGGGGGAAAGAACCTGCACGCACCGCCGGCCATAACCCTTCGGCGAATCACACAGCCTGCAAGTCACTCGCTTATGCCTGGCACATACCACTTGGCCTTTACCATCAGAATGGAACTTCTTGGGTTTTCCCTTCATCGGCGGCTTTTTGTCGACGACGTACGATTTGCGTCCGCGCTCGAGGGTCTCCAGGCACCGGTGACAGAGCGATTTGGGGCCCAAGAAATCACGGACCGCCACATGACTACAGAATTGAGCCGGCGCAGTCTGGACCGTCGATTCTATCTCATGGTTCTGTATCCGCGAGACGTGAGCCAAGTCAGCGAGGGCAAAGTGAAATAGGGGGGGCTGTATGCATGGCTCTTGTGCTCGGAACCAGAGGGATTACTTACCGAATTGTTTCGCTCAGCAATGTCATAGAGCTTGAAATGATTTAACGGGACGTGGTCCTCGGGGACCTGCAGCGTAATATCCGTGTACTCGTTCGTGAATCGGATTTTGATTTCTCTCTCGAAGGGGGGGGCGCCCAAATTGTCGAGAAAGGCTATATGTAAGACCCATGGATGAGCCGCAAGCATTGAATCGGAGACGGCAAGGAGCATCACTACTTACCGATGATGGTGCAAAAGTTGACGTGCCCCAAGACCTGCACCCATGCCCAATTGTCCAACTTGACCACGCACATCACATCTGTAGGCACGCGGCCGGCCCAAGCTTTCTTAATATGGGCTTCGAGGGCCTCGGCGGTCATAGAATGATCCACCTTGAGTTATGTGGTCAGCCTGAGAGGGGTTGTGCCAGATTTTCCTGGGCTTGGGTGACTCACGTTTGAAAGGAGGATATAGTAGATGCCGGTGATGGGCCCCGCAGGAAACTTCCAGTTCCCTAGGAGGGTCGGCGCAGCCGCGAGTTCCCTTGTCTGAGGCATATTGAAATGCTTGTCCTGACTAGAAGATAAAGAAGACTCGAGGCAGAAAGGCGCTAAGGGCTGTTGTCGCAGTGAGTAGAAGGATGTTGCGTGGGGACGAAAGGGTTGCTGAGGTGAACTTTATTTGAAAGGCGCATCGTCTGGTTATATAGTTGCTGAAGAGCTCGACAGCAGATCAATCGAGAGTCGTGGCCTCGTCGTTACTCTCTGTGACCGCCCGCCGAACGGGTTCGGCGCAAACCGGGCATCATCCACTTTGTGTTCTGAATCCCCAACAACAATGAGCACGAGCTTCAAAGACCACGGCCATGAACTCGATGAATAAATGGAATAACAAGTGCGCAGCCTTTGATATCACCCTTACAGATTGCTGTGAATCAGAACCGGTTCGCTCGACCTAACAACTGCACTGAAGCAGTGAGTTTGTGACAGCTTCAGACATGCGCCGGATCTGGCTGTAACAGACGGTGATTTGGAGACACGAAAATGTGTATTTAAACAGGACTCGTTGGGTTCGTGCCTCTTTGTCTCTGCGTTCCACAATGAATAGAAATATCCCCGCTCCACCTTTCGAACTTCGAAAAATGGTTGGCAAGGTGTGCATGCTTACTTACCTCAACGAGGATTGGGAAGATGATATATGGGAAATATGGATATTCTCTGGCATTTTCCCTTGCAGGGGTTTCTCCGCTGTTGCCGACGACGGCCAAGCCCCTGGCCAAGTTAATGTGTACATCAACAAAGACTCTTGTGCAGAGTTCGACGGCCACATGTATGACTGTACGGCTCTCGGACAAGTGGAGGACATCGACTATCCCCGGTTGAGGCAATATACCGAGTACATCAGGGTAGACGAGGACATGGATCCCGGCCAGCAGGTGAGTGAATCCTAGGTTGTCGGATGCTTGACGCCATACATATTCCCCGTGTGCGGCGCAGAAGATGCTCAACTCACGAGGAGAGACCAGGTTCATGTCTCGCGTTCGTGGATGTGGCGATTTGTGGAGGGCTTGGTGCAATTGGCCGTCATCCCGAAGCAGGCCCTAAAGACTTGCAAAATACATTTGCGCGAAGAGGCAAAGGAAAGGTGGAGATTGGTCCAGATGGTACTGGAGGCAAAAGCCAGGCATGAACGACTCATGCAACAGACCGATGAGGAGGTGAAAGACTATTGATGGCGGTGACAAAGTATTGAACGCGGCTGACGGGCGCTACACGCGAAGAGGACGATGATGGGATGGCTACTCAGCAACGGAGAAGGAGCGAGACAACAAGACCCGAGAGTCATAAGTGAGAGGGGCTTGAAGTAGAATCGAATATCGACTGAGAAAAGACGCAATCGACTTGTGTGTCCAATTTGAGCCTGAGAGGCCAACTATTATATCATCGAATGTATAAATTGTGAAAAGAACACAAAGGACATTAGGTTCCGATGCTACCCCGGTTGTCCTCAACGGGATCATTATCGTTGCGGACTATCCGACATTGTCATGTTGAACCCCATCGTCCTTGTAAATCATCAGACTCCTCGACCTCTCTTCCGCTCTCCGTATGCGCATGTCCTGCTCCCCAGGGAATAGCTTACTGCTCAGCGTACCGTCATCCGTTGCACTTGAAGCCAACGTTGCCATGTACGTTTTCGCAATGCCAGACGTTGAAGGGGCGGCCGGCCTTGGTGATGCGGATGTCCGAAACCTTCACGTCATCGCAACCGCCAGCGCTGGAGCTGCACTGGAGGTGGCCCGTTTCCTGGACCTCGTTGTTGACGGTGCCGCTAACCCGGCGCCAGGCGAAGTTGTTGAGCTTGAACTTGCTCGAGTTGCAGTCCTTGCCCGCGAGGCCCGAGTAGTTCTCGCACTGCCAGGCAAAGAAGGGCTGCTTGCGCAAGCCGTCGATGCGAATGTCCTCCATGAAAATGTTGGAGGCGTGGCCCAGACCGCCGCCGCCGCCGTTGGGGGGCACGCCGCGCGAGACGCCGCTCCAGGTCTTGAAGTATGAGACGTGGGCTGTGTTGCGGAGGGTGATGTTGCGAGCGTAGAAGTCGGTGATGTACTCGTGGCGGCCGTTGTACTGGCCCATTGAGCCGATGGCGACGCCCTGGCCGTTGACAAAGGTGCTGTCGTAGATGGCAATGTTGCTCGAGTTGCCCTTGAGAGCGATGGAGTCGTCGCCGTTGTCGACGAACCAGCGCCGGAAGGTGATGCGATCCGAGTAGATGGTGTCGCATCCATCCGTGTTGAGAGTGTTCCACTGGCTCTTGGACGTGCTGCTGACGTAGATGTCGTCGAGATCCACGTTCTGGGAGTGGGTGATGGCCATGGTCCACATCTGGCTCTGCACGAAGCGCAACCGCCGGATGGCCGAGTTGGTGAGCCGCCGGTAGTTGATGTTCATGGGCCGCCGCGGCAGGTTTCCCTGGCCCTTGGCCCAGTCGTACCAGACCTGCCCGTTGCCGTCTAGAGTCCCGACATTATATCCGTCCCAATGGACCTGGTCGCCGCCAAAGTACCACACGGTGCTCTGGTTCTGGAATCCGACGGGCATCGACACGGACCGCCAGTACTCAATATCCGGGCTCCAGAGCAGCCGGCCCAGCAGTACGATGCGGACGTCGTGGAGATCCAGCGTCGTCATGGCGGTGCGGATGTTGTACACGGGACCTGGTAGGTAAACGACGCTCCGGGTCCGGCATTTGCGGTTCAAGGCGTCCATCAGCGCCGGAGCGTCGTCGCCACCGTCGGTCCTCGGCCTCACGACGCACAGCCGGCGTCTCTGAGACTCGGCCTGCCGCTTCACGTCTTCATGGCTCGGGAGGCCGCGGCCCGTCGCCGAGGGCCCCGCGGGCACGACTTGACGCTTCTGGGGCCGAAGGACACGCCTCGGGACTGCGTCGGGAGACCCTGGACCCCCCGAGAGGGCGAGGACAGCCTGAAAGAACAGGATTATGGCAAAGACGCGCATTGTGTGGGGTTGGTAGAAACCCAAGAGGTTTCTCTTTTTCTGGATATTTTTCCTCTTTTTGCTCGCTGCTCTTTGAGCCGGAGCTGGGTAAAGGAATGGCTGAAGAAAGAGATTCTTCTCCTCCTCTCACTCACACACTCTCTCTTCTTCTTCGTCTCTCAGTCGCACTCTGACAGGAACGCACACACGCTCTCTTTTCCACCGGCAGAAGAGACTCCAGCAGCCGGAGTTTAATATGAATGCGGACAGGAGGGAGGGAAATTGGCTCCCGGGAGCCAAGAAACGCGGCGCCGGCGTTATGTCTCAGAGCCAAAATTAAAAGTAAGCTGCGTCTAGACCGTGGGAGGATCCAAAGCAGGAGAAGGGCTGGCAGCGTAGGCCCTTTAACATGTATTATAGAACCGGCCACAGATGGTCATTAGCCGTGGACAGGTGACTGACAGCCTACAAATCCAATCCCTCCTCTCGGAGACTCGGACCAGCAACGCTTGGATTCCAATGGACGAGCCCTACGGTCGTCAGATGACCGCAAGAACCATGTACACCAGACAGGCTGGCGAGCCAAGCCCCAAGCCGGCACCACCATCCATGAATACTGCAATGCGCGCTGCAATGGCGGAACACGACACAGTTCCGAGCCTTTCTTTTGTCGTGGCATCATGACTGGAACCCCATGACTGGAACCCCGCACAAAGTCGTAGGGAGCCAGGGGGGTCTCGTGTCCTGTTCCCCCTGTCGAAGGGAAAGGGAGCGAAGAAGGAGAGATAGGGAATAATGTTGACACTTCGGATGTGAGGCCCGGCCATGGATCGGAGGTGGGGCCGACCCTCCCGGCTTAGCTGCTCCGCATGGAGGAAGGGGGCGTCAGCCGGAAAGGAAGAAGGGCGCTGGTTGTGTTTGTTTTTTCCCCTGCTGATTGTCTCATTGCATTTCACTTCTCACTCCGTACCTCTCGAGTTTCGCACTCGAAGAATGGAGGCACTGGTCGCGCCAGCTCCCGCATGGGGTCGCATTCGCTGCGGCCCGGAGAAAAACAAGACCTTTAATATTTCTCGGTCTCCCGTCGAGTCGTGCTGCATTGTTTCCCATGCCAATACGAGGGTCGCTGCATCCGAGATAGATCATACTCATGACGAAAGAGGGGGAACAGCGCTTTTGTGCCTTTGAGAGCCTGAGAGATGCGCTTGCGGGCTGGAGAGACTGGAATACACAAGAGGATGCTGTGATGCCCTCGAAGCCGTGCGCCCGCAGCCCGTGGCTTCTGTACATGCTCACTCCTGCCCTCGTGTCGGCAAGTTTCTCCATACCTGTGCCTCACCCGCCATGAGCTCCCGTCACCTTGATAGGCCGGGCCAAGCAAGACCAGGTCTCGGCTCTGATGCTCTTGATGAGAAGGAGTCAACGAGGAGCTTTGTGGTTCAATGTTACCCTACGTACCCCCCTTGAAGGGAGAAGCTGCCACCCAAGGGACTGAACAGAGAGCTCTGTGACTTGCCGAGAACGGTGTCGTGCGGCTCCCAGGTGCAGGGAGACTAGTTGATGAAGATCGTCATTCGCCAAACTCACGCGGACCATAATCCCTGGCCCCTGCCGCAAAGTCTCCCCCTCTTGTTTGCCCCCGGCAGTTTCCGCCGAGGATGCTACTGCGTCTCGGGTGCAACGCAGGCTGCCGGGTCGTCGCCGGTGGTTGGATGTTGCGAAGGCAGCCAAGAGAATTACATACAATGCAATCTCGTGACGGCTAGGCAAGTCGTGAGTACTGTAGGGTCTGGGGCTTCTGTACCCTTTTCCAACGTGTCAAATTTCTGAATTCCTTGCTTCGAGAAGCCTTACTGAGACGTCCACGAAGATCTCAGGCCTCATCCTTTGGCAGAGTCTGCAGCTCCCGGGAGCGCATCCGTCTTTCGAGCTCTCAACTCGTGGTGGGCCCGGCTGAGGACAGAGAACCGCACGCGCATGCGTATACGGCAGTCATCCAGCATCTCATGGTGGTAGTACAATGGGCTCACAGTAATACTGTTGATACGTGCATTTCCGTGGCGCCTCGAGTCTTCTCCGCTGGAGCTCTTACTTGGCGCCCTCGCATGCTCACGGGTAATATTCAAAGCATCCATCCTGGCCGCAGAACGTGGCACCTGCAGAGACAAGCATTCCCATCCGCACCTGCAGCTTTGGGCAACCTCGGATTCAATGTGATCCTCGCGTCTTCCACCCTCACCAATCCCGTGGCCCCAGGCCACACCATTCCAGCAAAGACCTAGGCGTTCGTCCTGGGCACGTGCGCCCTGCAAGCCTCATTATGCCAGGACGTTAATGCAACAGCTCGGTTCCTCTTCACGCCACCATGCTAGTCCGCAGCACATGTAGCATTGCAAACCCCCATTCATTGGCCATCGTTGGCTCCGAGCTTGAAGAACAGGCAAGTTGCATACTGCTACCCCCCTCGATGCGTCTCTGGCAGTCTACCCGTGGGCGGATGGCGTTGTGTGTCAACAGTAGACTCGCACCCTCCTTACATGGTCATTGGCACGAGACTTGGTCATGTTATAGAAAGTTCAGATCGACTCATGGGAATGATTAGTCTAAGACAGCGCATTAAATTAAAGACAGAGTTACCGATTTAGCATTACGCTCCTCTAGACAAGCAACCTATCTTTTCTTAATTCTTTACTTATAATATAATAAATAGACTTAAAAATACCTATAGGTATTTATTTATAGGCTACTCTTAAGCAGTAGCTTAAGAGTATAGTAGAAGAAATACGGGCATAGAAAGGTAAATTTAGTAATATATATCTTAGTCTATCTATTAGGATAAGGGAGGGGCTTATATAGGTATAGTAACTATATATAGCTAGCTAAAAGAGGGTATTAAGATATTCCTATACCTAAGTTAGGCCTATATAATATCCTTAGGCTAGGGGAGTTATATTAGTTAAGCAGGCTTCCTTATATATAACTATTAAGTCTATTAGGTATAACTATAGCCTCTTATACTTACTCTCCTTAATATACCTTATTACTACCCTAGCTTCTAAATAGTAGGGTAATAGGTAGAGGAGCGTTTAATCTAATAAATATAAGGCTATTTTAATATTAAATTCAGCTACTTTATTATCTATTTAAGGAGGTTATTTAAAAATAAAGGAGGCTCTTAATTATATCCTATAAAAAAGGGAAGGTAAATATATTACGACCACGGTCTAGCGAACCGCGGGGACTAGTATATATTACGAGGATACGTAACGTAGGGAGCAAGGAATATTAGACGGACTAACGGGCTAATTAAGTTTAGAGCGATGGGTTACTCTAGCGCTCTAACGCTCTATAGCTAGGATCGTAGGATCGCTCTAGCGCTCTAGCGCTCCTAGGCGACGGGATTACCTAGTGCTCTCGGCGATCTAAGGAAGCTCTCGAGATATATAAGGAAGGAACGGAATACTCCTTTAAATAGATAGCTTAATAGCTTTTAATATATTATAATTATTACGATCTTTATTACGATCTTATCTTTAATTCTAATTACTTAATTACTTAGTTATAGTCTATAGTCTATAGCCTTTAACTTATTACTAATATAATATACTTATTATTACTTAGACTACGCCCTATTATATCTATTAATATAAACCCTTAATAGGTTTATCCCTTAAGAATAATACTAGTTATTATATATTAAAAGCTCTTATTTAGTATAATACTATATTACTTTAAGTAATATCGTAACTATTAATATACTTATATAGTAAGCTATATTAACTAACTCTAGAGCTACTATATCGCCTTAGGATATAATACGCGAGATTATTACCTTTCGATATAAGGTATAGTTACTTAGGAATAAAGGAGGTAATATATAAGTTAAGGACCTTAAAGAAGTAGTTAAACTAAAATAGCTAGGACTATTTAACGGTACTTATAGTATACTTTAAGACTTTCTTACTTAACTTAAAGTCTACTATTAGTTTTACCCTACTAAACTCTTAGACCTAGTCGAAAAGGTACTCTATATAAGAAATTATTTATTTAAAATAGTACTCGCTTAGTTTAGACCTATTATAAGGGACTTTCTTAATAACTAACTAGCGCAATAAGATAACGAGATAGATAAAGTCTTTGCTAGTTTCTAAGGATTTAAAGAAGCTATTATAAAGGTATTTAGAATAACTAACGAGGAATAAAAAGCTAAATAGAAACTTTAAGAACTTTAATAAAGGATCTTAGTATTAAATTATACTATAAAGTTCTATTAAGTTACCTTAAAGCTTAATTAGGATAATAAACCTCTTATATTACGATTTTATAATAGGCTTAAAGAAGAAGTTAAAGATAAGCTTTATAAGGAAAATCGACTTAATAACCTCTTAGACTATATTACTATAGTAGTATAAATCGACGATAGATAGTATATATAACGCTAAGAAAAGAAATAAGGAAAAGGAAACTAAAACCTTTCTTATAAGAATAACTTTAACTAACGCGCTAACTATAAAAAGAAGCGCGAAACTCTTATTACCTATACCTATATAACTAACCTAGGTAGGATAAATCTAAATATAATATAGAAAAGTAAAGGAAAGTATTTTAACTATAAGAAACTTAGATATTACTTTAAAGAATATAAATAACCTTATAAGGAAAAGAAAACCTACTAAGTACTAGCCTTAGAAAGTAAGAAATACTTAAACGCTATTAATAGATAGGAACTAAAGTATAAACTCCTTAGTTAAACTATATACTATAATAATAAATATATAGTATACTTAAGCGATAAGAACGGTATTAAATAGTTCTTAAAGCTATTAAAGAAGACCCTTATAATAATATAATAAAGGGATCTTAAAATATAGAAATACGTTAAATTTATAGAACCGGAATACCCTTATCTTAAAAGAGTCTTTTAAGACTAGATTAAGAAAAATAGTAAACGATTTTAGGAAGATATATAAAATAAAAATCGATAATAGTAATAAGTAGTTTATAAATAATATAATAAAGAA